AGGTTAGGTTTGGTTAGGTTAGGTTAGGTTGGTTAGGTTAGTTGGTTAGGTTAAGTTCGGTTAGGTTAGGTTAGGTTAGGTTAGTTCTGAAACTCTTCACAGCACTTTTACCCGCCAAGATGTTTCTAAAAAGACAATAAATAACAAAAAAATCCGTTCATCGTTTTCGGAGGCGGTAAAAAACTTAAATATTTTTTTTTTTAATTCGATAGTTTGTACCTTCTCGACAAGCTCTTTCAAATGAGCCCATCGTCAACTTTCTATCTCTTATAGTTTAAGAGAAACAGACTTTTTTCGAATCGTTATACCGCGTGGGTGCTATCTACTTGGTTTTTTTTTAAAACTACGAAAGCAATAATACATAAGTATACAGGTACGACACACGTGTACACCATGGTGTTGGGGTTATTATTGTGTCGACAATTTTGGCCTCACGGCTAATAGAATTAATTTGAACGTGACGTGCGTCGTGCTTAAAAAAGCAGCTATGTTAACCAATTGCCAAGTTATTGCCGCACAACACGGTCGAAGGTTTTTTTTTTTGATTAAACAAAACATTTTCGGACACGTTGTTTTGGTCATATGTGTGTCGATCACGTACTCGCAGTGAGAGAGACTAACCTAAATTGTGTACCTACACGAGATTTCCAAAAGACAAGCAACAAGACATAGGTAGTGGATTATTTCTCAACATAATAATTATGGTATTTTTCATACACACACACACACACACGGCGATGACAGCGACGACCACTTCCTGAAACTCCTCTTCTGAACCCCAAGCCCCGGGGCTTATGTTTGGGGGCCATATGGGGAAAAAAAATTACATACTTTCACCTTTATAAAGAGCAACAAATAGAAGTCACCGGATCGAAAACACAACCGAGTTACCATAATATATACCGTGGTCTGATAAAACACACGGTCACAATGCAATCGGATTCCCATCATCGTCTCCCAATGCGAAGGCGTAGAGACAATGATCCGAGTGGTAGCAGTAAAAGCCACACACGATTGACACAAGGACAGAGACAAGAAATAAATAATATTATTATGTAACAAACGAATCGTTACATCCAACAACATTCGACAGCTCGGCCGCAGACAGTACTGTGATGTCACGGACTTGGTCCAGGGAATCAAATAAGAAAACTATACTGTTCAAACTAACCGCCGGTTATCGATCAGTAAACATTTTCAAAAAATCATTCTTAATTTAAAACTTCAATACATGTTATCGTTCAAGTTTTAAAAGTCGATAAAGCTCTAGGAAATAATTTTTAAAAAAAACATTTTATCACGGATATGTTATCTCTTATCACTTATCGCTCATCTATTGTATCTTATCATGTATGTATTTGATCAATTATCTCTTATCACTAATCTCTTATCTCTGACTGAAAGTGTGACGCGAAATTTCTTGTATCCAGCCCAATCTCACGTGTCCATGCTGAATAATTATAAAAACTGGAATACCGTCTAATATATTGTAATATAAGATCAAAAACCAAAACTAATTATCGTAGGCCGCTTTAACTGTAACAACGGTTCAATTAAATTATCCAAAAATAAAAAATAATCAACTTTTTTCTCAGAGCACGGTAAAATAATAATGCGTATTGTTCTCGGTCGTCCACTTCTCTCTCTCTCTCTCTCTCGAGTCCTTGAGTATATTTTCGTTGTCTTTATCGATCCGATATTTTAATTGTTAATAATAATAATAATTAGCTTTGTCAATCGATCAACGTAATAAGTGCTACAATTCGAAGAACAAGACAACAGTATAACTTCGACGAATAAACTCTCGGACGGTTCTGGCTCGTGTTTTGAAACGGGCAAAGGGTTTGTCACGTGGCATTTGCATTTTTACCAAACGCCTGTTTCGATTAGAGACAATAATACGAATGCAGCCAACGACTGTATAATATAAACAACACTCGCCTCGTATACCTCTAATGTATATAAATATAATAATATATACAACTAGCCAGAAGAAAAAGTTACATAAAATATTCAACGAAACCGCGTTGATAATTATCACACAATATGTGCGTCGTGTGTCGTCGACTGCTATTGTTGTAACGTCATGCGGACGACCAGGGTAATAAATATGCATTTGAGTATTGCATCTAGTATAGTATACTATATTTGTTTACGTAGGTTCCCAAGTCCTAGGCGATTTGGGCGTGCATTTAACAGCAACAACAACGAGTTTCTCGTGGAATGACACGGACAAATAACATGTTTCTTTTTACCATATATATGATATTATAAAATGACATTGTTAATACATTGTACCTAATGGCGCACTGCGAATCCCGTCGTCTTCCATCATCTTGGTTGGAATTAGAACCGACGTCGACTTCGATTCTTATCACTGGTTAGCAATCTAGTCGTATATAATATTATGTGGATTAAACGTGTTGAGATAAATGTACAAATTCCACGTGGCTTCGACGTTTTTGTTTTTCCTAAAATTGATAATAATGTTATTGGACTGGATACAAGAAATTTCGTGTCGCCATTTTCGCGTTACACTTTCACTTTAAGTTAGACATACGAGATAAGAGACAAAATGTAAATGATAAGAGATAAGTGATAAGAGATGATTGTCTTGGAGCGGAGAAAATAACTATTTTTTATACATATTTAAATCACATATATAAAAAGAAAATAATTATGATATACTAAATATTATTATTACGACGTTTGGTCCTAAAAATTCGAAACAAAATTATATTCTGACTTGAAATAATTTTCAATGTTAAAATCCCCCCAAAAAACATGCATTCTGTTTAATTGACAAACTACAACTGGTCCGTGGATCATAATGTAAACACAAATAAATGTTTGAAACGCATTAAAAACACATATTGGACAGAAAAACAAAACCGTGTAAACAAGACAAGTTTGTTTAGGTTTAATAAATTATGCGTGCAGTACAATCGACATCAGACATCGTTAGTGATTATTGATTAACGACCAAAGTTATTTTGTTAACATTCTATATTCAAATACAGAACCATATATAATTTATAATATAATTTTACTCTTACCGAACCAGTCGACTGAGCAATAGGAATACTCAAGTGTACATTATTATCCTTTTGTGACGTTAAAAGCGGTTTATGTATAACACCACCAACTCTCTTGTCTTGAAATAAAAGATAAAAAAATAAACGTGATAGCTAATTAAATCGGTACAGTGAATTGATTTTCTCTAGGCTGTTTGGACATTACTAACAACCAATGAAAGTTAACCGCTAGCAGCATCTCGAAATGACTTCACTTTAGACAAGTAAAACATTTTATTTATTAAGGTCAAAATTATAAAATTGTATTTGGGTATAAAGCTTATTAATTAAAAGTAAACAAAGTATCTTTGTAGCCGGCCAAGAGGTCATTACCGAGGAACATAACATTTAAAACTTTCAATTAATCATACATGTTACCCGTTAAAGCTATTTAAAAGTTGACAAAGCTATTTAATCATAGATATGTTATCTCTTATCACTTATCGCTTATCTCTAATCTATTGTATCTTATCATGTATATTTCATCAATTATCTCTTATCTGTTATCACTTATCACTAACTGAGAGTGAAAGTGTAACGCGAAAATGGCGACATGAAATTTCTTGTATCCAGCCCAACAACATATCCAGTATAAAAAATTTGAATACCGTCTAACTTTGTAGTATAACATTGACAAAAACGTTTCCAAAAACAATAACTTGCAAGTATAAACTAGTGTACGTCGTTAAAAGACACTCACTCGGTATTCTGTACAACCAAATGGATACCAACTAACTGACAGGTGAAATATTATTCCTTTCGATTTACATACATAGTAGGCACGTGTCTGCCTAATGATAACACACACACACACACACACACATTCATAAAACCCGTTACACGTTTAACAAACAAATTAAATCGCTCCGAGCACACGGTATTCGCATGTGCAGTCAAACAGCGCTGGACTTACGCAATGCCATAACAATAATAATAAATCGAACGATAATGGTATTGGTTTTTGAAAGTCTATTATATTTATTATGCACTGTCACAGAAATTTCGTTTGATTATTAATTCATCGACGCGGTATTATTATTATTCCGGGAGAAACCGGCATGCGGCCATTTAGACAAACCCACACGAGCAAATTATTTTCCATCCATTAGAAATGCAATGACAACACACAACCGAATCGATGATCATACTAATCCCCTGTGCACAGTGTCGTTCGAATAGAACAATAAATACACAAGTGATAACACAAAATAATGTAACTAATTGAAAGTGACGCGCTATAGCTTTAACAATAATTACTCTGTCCCACGAGAGATCGGACCTGCGCGCAGAAACCAAAACGCATGGCTCTCTCGTGCGCCTGCAAAAGTAACGTGTTGTAGTTTTAGTGCAGGTCCGTTCTCTCGTGGGACAGACTATACCCACTGCTGTGCATCGAAAGGGAGCGCAGCGCCCCCTTGTGGTCAATGCACTTACTATTAGTAGGATACATAAATTATATGAGCAACGTGGAATTTCTTCTAAAAAGCGTTACATCTGTAAACGCAATGGTTTTATCCAATTTTTGTACATAAAACATTTTGATTGGTACAAAAAAATGCACGAGCCTCGCCCGTCCTTATCTGCGCTCGATGCGCTTGATGGTTATTGTACAATTATCTTATTATTAAGCCCTTCAAAGCCAAAGTATTTTTGGGTAGTTGATTTGTAGAGGGTTTCTCGACACAACAAACGCTCGTTCCGACAGAAAAACGTTATACCGTTAATCGCATTTCAAAAAAAGAACGAAAAAGACATTGACTTATAATACTATACCGGTTTGGTTAGGATCGACATGGTATTGCGGTCGTGACGACCGACACGTTTCGTTGTATTGCAATAGTGTTTTATTATATTGTACCTATTAATTGTATCGGTTTTTGTATTTATTTTATTAATAAAAAAAACCTTGTTGTTTTTGTGTCGCAGAAATCGAAGCCAAAGAAGCGTGTAAATGGCTCAGGGCAGCTGGGTTTCCACAGTACGCGCAAATGTATGAAGGTGAGTTTGAATGGACATTTTTTTTTTTTTTTACCGACATCATCTTAAGTTGTTTTTCTATTAATGGCCGTGTGTGTGTTTTTAGACCTGCAGTTCCCCATAGACGTGAACGGCGTGCAAAAGGACCATCCGTTTCTTGATTTGGACTCGTTGCAGTCGTTGTTCCGAAGGTTACATGCCCTCAACCGTTGCGCCAACATGAAGCTGGATTTCGTGCCCAAACACACGGTAAGTGCACGTTGGCTGTAATACCGTCGCATTCATTTCCAAACATTAATTAAGTAAAAAAAAGTCAAGGCTATACAGGGACCAGTCTTAAGTGTTCTAAGGACTTACGTCCGTACGAGGCGCATTTGCTAAACCGAGCCAGAAAGGGTTAAGGTCGTCAACTTTTTTTTCTTTCTGGAACGTCACACCAAAGAATTCAATTTCGGTTTAGTACCTATCTACTAGCTTGATGGCTTAGTTTATTTCCAATATATCATAAACTAAAGTATCTCAAAAAAAAAAAAAAAAAGGTTAAGAGTATCTACACTTCATGCGGATACATCAAAACATGGATATGTCCTGCAATCTAGTATCTCTAATCCACTATCTCACCATAATTAATTCCTTAATACTTCTCCATATTTCTTTTCCATCATCCTCCTCCATAATACATAATGAAGGCAGCACTGTCACACTTATCATGTCGGATAAATTTTCAGAATGACCCCCAGCCGCATAAGACATATCCATGTCAACTACAAAATTGTAAAAAAAATTTAATAAAAAAGATAAAAGTTTGAATATAGCCCAATATTGTAAAATAACATAACTAAAATGTTTCCAAAAAGAAAACATATAAACTTGCAATTATTTTTAAGAGAAAATCTTAACCATAATGAATGACCCTGTATATGTTTACAGATTTTAGCCCAATGTTAAGTTTTAATGAACAATTGCCTTTACAGTGCCTTACAGGCCCCTATTTAAATACTCATAAGAAAATATGAGTATTTCGAGAGAGAGAAATGGTTTTCTTTACTTGTAGACAGGTTCATATTTTATTTTATTTTTTAATACTGTTTGGTAAACTGTGCTGACGTCATTATCGTTACTTAAGAATTACGGAGGAGGCTTGTGGATTGATTATGGAGGTGAATTAATAGAGATAGTGGATTAGAGATAATAGATTAAAGAAAAGATTTCAGAGATACTAGATTGCAGGACATGTCCATGTATTGATGTAGATATATCCATATAAAGTGTGGATACTCTTGACTTTTTTCCCGTGAAAATTGAAAATTAGTGTCTTACAACAGATATGGATCACCCTGTATTTATACTAACGGCATTGTATTTTTGGTCGCTAATTTCGCTGTAAATTCGTTACAGGCGGACGATTCGGACTCGGAGGGAGAATGCGCTCTGAGCGAGAACTGGACGTTCCAGAGGGAATCGCGCCGCTGGTCCAGGGTGGACGATATCGCCAACACCGTGGCGGCGATACCCGGCGACACGCGGCAATCGCAGCAGCCGCGGTACGCCGTGGACGACGGTTGTTCGCTGATAGCCGTCCGGGTGTCGGCCGCGCAAGACGTCGATTTGTCGTCGTCCGACGGACACCAACAGCAACAACAGCCGCCGGACGCCGCCGGCACCAACAACAACAACAACAACAACAACGGCTGCTGTAAGTACGGCGGCGGCGGCGGCTTGACACTTCCTTCGACCGGAATCGTGTCGACGGAACCGACGGCGGCGGCGGACGCGCTGGGCTCGCGGTTCCGGCGGTCGGGCAGCGAACGGCTGCGGGACGGCGCCAAAGCCATCTTGCGGCGCGTGGAAAGCTTGAAGACCCGGCGGCGGAAGCAACGCAACCGCGACGGCGTGGTCATCGGAGCGCCTCAGGTCAGTGTCCTCCTGCGTTATCGCTGTTATTATTGTGCCTAATTATTGTTGTTATGAAACCGCGCCGCGCACTCCTGTTGGAGAAAATAACAAATATATAATTATTATATTTCTATTTTTAACAAACCGCACACTTATGTGGTATTGTTATATAAGAAAAATATAAATTAGTCCTTTTAATAGCTCACATCTGTCTTCCTCTCTCTCACACACACACACACACACTATTTCTTACTGTTTACCGATTAGGTATATTTCACGTGGGTTAATGGAATGGCGTCGATCGTTAATATATTATTATAATTTTTATCCGTCCAGATACGGTTTTCACGTGGATTTTTAGTCGCGTTTACCGTTTTCATTAGAATTTAATACGTCGAATACAATATTATTATCGATTATTATTATGTTAGGTATATTTTGTTACATAGCTGGCAGTTAAACGTGGCTATACGTTTAAGTGCCAGCTATATACCTAGCATAATACTGATTATAAGGTAGTATAATAATATTAATGAAATACAGATACCTAATCGAAAAACGTTTATCCAATATCCGCTTAACGTTAAAATTATATGCCTAAAATATGGCATATTAATTATATCATTATAATATCCAATACCTCGAAATAGCTATTACCTAAATGGACAAAATTATTTTCTTTTGTTGTTATAATTCTTATATTTTGGCATAGGGATATTATGCAATATATTATATATTGTTTATGTGTCTTAATATTATTTACTGGAGAAATATTGGGTATATCAAACTTACGGAACATACAATTAAAAAATTCAACAATTATTTTTCTCAATATCTGGTATTTTTTTAACCATTTCAGTACGTTTTATTTTTTTTTCTCTTTATTATATTAAATATTTACATCTATACAAATAGGCACAACAGTAAATAAGTAAGTACAATACAATACATGAAGTAGGGGGACACCCAATGGAGCTACCTACTTTGATCTATTTTCTAAAAGAAAAATTTGCATCTCTTTTTGTTTTATAAATAATGCCATTGTTGAATAAAACCTCCTACAATCACTTATTTACCAATAAGATCATAATATTATGTTGTATACATGTTGTACTGTTGGTCAGATACCAAGAAGCCCCTTCCGGTAAGGTGACTTCTTATCTAGCTTAAACTAATCGTGTATTGTCCCTGGGTTGACGTAAACCATTATATATTATGCAAATTAACATATTTAATTATATGGACAAGTTCGGTGAAATCGTAACAACCACAAATTAAATGTTGAGGTCATTACAAACATCTAAGACAACTCGCCTAAGGCTCGGAGGTATTCTATACCATTAATTTAAAAATCAACGATTACACTATACTCGCGGTCATAAGTTGACCAAAGAAATCATAAATTTCCGGACACAAGTTTAAACATTTTTGGTGTCCCAATGTGAGCGCAGCAGGTCCATCAACTTTATAATAAATATATATAAAAACATTCAAACCGTTCAAATAGAATTATTATAATATTATTATGTTTTATTACTATTCCTACATTATTTTTTCTTCGACCATAATTATTCAACTCCCATAAATTTGTCACATTTCCAGCACTCCATTAGTAGTACTTATATCTGAAAACCCGTCGCCCTTGACTCCTAATAAACAATAACGTTCAGGCGAAACGCATGACCTCTGCTGGCGCATACCTATTTCACTATTGCCTACCAATAGCGCAGAACAGCTCTTGATAAATTATCGCGCAATCAGTTTTAGCACAGTCATGTCTGATTTTTTAACATCGTCACGGCCCACGAATAATACACTTTGACCCTTCAACATATAATTTTTGGCGGTCAGATTGTTTCACTGTCACTGGAGATGGCGCAGGGTCATGTTTTCCAGAAGGAATTTGCCAATGACTTGAACTAGCGCAGCCGTTAATTCGCATTCTTCATCCTTTTCGGTATATGATTATTCTAATCTGAAACGTTTCGTTCGATTGTCTAGATCATCGATGTAGCATCAATGCAGATAAAGATGAAAGAGTTGAACTGCGTGGATGTAACACCCCCCGACTCGCCAATGGCGGACGACATCAATGCCAAACGGTTCTTGGCCAAACCCGAATCCTTAGACTCGTTGGCCTACTCAGATTCGGATTTGTCTTGGAGAAACGAATACACCGACGCAAATAGCAATAACACAAAGGTAGGGTTTGCACTCAGTATTCGTCAGAATTGTCTTAATTTCTTATTGTGTTAGTCTTCTTCTTCTTCTTTATCTTCGCCTTACACTCCCAACTACACGGGGTCAGCCACCCTAGTTCTACACCTCCATAGGGTTGGATCTTCTACATCTTGTTCAATCAACCCAGCTACACCTCATATCGCTATCTATTCCGTTTATCCATCTTTTCTTCAGTCTTTCTCTTCCTCAATTTCTCTCTACGTTCATCTTCATAACACTGCCACTGTGCCATCTCTCCTCATAACATGACCGAACCATCTTAACCTATTCTCTCTCATTTCCCCATTTCATCCATCACTTCTGTCTTATAGGCATCCTTATTGTGTTAATCAAAATAAATAGTAGTTTAGAATTCCAAACAATTCTTCGTTGGCGAATGGCATACGAATGCAGTGTGGATACTCACACAACTATAACAGTGTAGTTGTACAATAAGTATATTTAATTTGGTGAACGTTATTTTATTTTGCTATAGCCACTTCTCGAATTCATGACCTTCGACGGTAGTAACGGGTTTTCATCTCCGAACAACAGCCAAGACGGTCGGACATACAAAAACAAAGGTGTGTATATTTACACCAAATCTGAGATGATTATTGTCAGTGGACAATAATTGTTATTTTGATCGACTTATATTAAGCTAATACGTTAACACGGTATTTTTGTCTGTTTCGCGCAGACAACGACAGCGTCGATTCGATTTCTAGTGCGGTTCAAGATAGCGATCAAGAGCTGACGCCTAAATCAAAGTAAAAAAATCTGGCTAACTTTGTTTTTATTATATTTTTTATAAATACTAATTGCCGTACGATTGTTTAACAGGAGGTCTGTGGTGCGATGGCATAGCTTCCAAAAGACTAGATCCCGGCCCGATTCGTTGGCCGGACATACCATTGGGTCTCTCACCGTCGGCCAACTGTTGGTTCTGCGCAAATTGGCTCTACTCAAGCTTACGGCTATCATGGAACGGTATTGCCCGACTCACCGGACCGGTTGGAACTGGGAGCTACCCAAGTTTATGCGCAAAACCAAATTACCAGATCCTAAAGGTACACATCATCAAATCTCTGCAGTCCATCAATATACAGGGTGTCCCAAAAACAATGGTGGGGTTTCAAACGGCTGTAGGTTGTGAAGTATTGGACCTACAGCGTTCTGTTAGGGCTTAAATGAAAGAGGGAGTTGTCAAGTTTCGAATGGCTGCCACTAGATGTCTCGGACACTAGATGTTTCATAGTCGTAACTGAATTACGCTTCGCGAACTCGATTACTTCTCTTGTGAGGACGCCATCATAATCAACTGAACAATGAAGGCTGGCGACACAAACGGGAACGCGGAGAGACATCTAGTGGCAGTCATTCGAAACTTGACAACTCCCTTTTTCATTCAAGCTCTATCAGAGCGCTGCAGGTCCAATACTTCACAACCTACAGCCGTTTGAAACCCCACCATTCTTTTTGGGGCGTATATAATCGTTGACAACTTTGTCGGATTTACCCAAACATTTATCTAACCTAACCTGTTTTTGCCACAGACAAGACTGTATTCGGAGTGCCGTTGATCACAAACGTCCAGAAGAACGGATCGGCGTTGCCGCCTTTCATACAGACGGCTTTTCGGTGGCTCGAAGACAACGCTCTCGAACAAGTGGGATTGTTCAGGAAACCGGGGGTGAAATCTCGAATACAGCGCCTAAAACAGTTGGCCGAATCCGACCCGGACAACGTCAAGTTCGAGAACCATCAGGCCTACGACGTAGCCGACATGGTCAAACAGTACTTCCGCGAATTGCCGGAAGCCCTGCTCACGAACAAGTTGTCGGAGAGCTTTATCGCTATTTTTCAACGTAAGTGCACATTCTATACTCCAAAACCTCTTCGCCCTTCTAGTTCAAACCTGGATCTAATGATCGGATTGTGCTGGTTTCAGACGTTCCTGTGTACTTGCAAAAAGAAGCAGTTCACTGCACGGTTCTGTTATTGCCGGACGAACACCGGGAAGCCCTGTACTCCCTGCTGGACTTCTTGTTCCGCGTGTCATCCAAGAGCGACGTCAACCAAATGTCTGCCAGCAACCTCGCCGTGTGCCTAGCGCCGTCTTTGTTCCACTTGGGCAACGGCAGTTCGCACGGTAGTTCTGGTTCGACGCCGTCCAGTCCGGGAGGCTCTCAAAGGTCGTCATCCGTATCGCCACGGCGCAACCAGACCAACATGGGCTTACCGGACTCCAAACAACTTGGACAAAACAAATCGGCTCACGACTGTCTGCTATTCCTCATCAAGCAGTATAGGGAGCTATATGTGGTGCGGCATTTCAACAGTGTTCCACAGACGGGCTCGGAATAATAATTGTTATCTTTTCTTTGGTTTAGATGTCCGAAGACATTATGAGCCAATGTCACTTCAGCTACATGGACGAGAGCATCCCGATAAATCTGGAAGATCTCGGAGCTGAAATGGGCCACGACTGGAAGGGTTACTTAAACGTATGCACCAACGCTCTCCTCAAAGAAGTCAAAGACAAGTAAGCACACAATCACTTGTTCGATCTTTTATGCTTCGAACGACTTCGTCTTAATCTCAATTCCGTCAAGAGTGATCACCAATTTTGGTCATCTTATTTCATGCTTCTCGTCATTCCCGACCACCCCAGTAACATCTCTCTATCCCAACTCAAAATAAATTCTATCCAAACTATGAAATCACTCCTGACTGCACACTGTTCATGTTCATGTCCCTTTTTTAAGGTTCAATCATAGCTTATAGCTTATATCAACTGCATATAACACAAATAATGGTCGGTTTTTGAAACTTAAAAGCTAAGTATTCTCTATCCGCTTCTTTACAGTGATTCTTTTCTGACGTGTCTGCCAAAAATTGGCGCCTCATGTCACGCTCTTTCACGCCTCTTTAAGAGATAAGAGATACAAAAGATTAGGGTTAAGATATAAGATATCCTGAGCGGTGGAGGATAGGAGGGAAGGTAGGAGTAGGCTAGGAAATACCTTCCCTTTCTTGATCCCTTATCGGCTGATCCACTTCCCCTGCCCCTCCTCTCTCGGTCGACACGCTTGAAGCGATACGAAAGTCAAACTTTCAAATTAACCAACAGGTTAATAGGTTTTTTGACTTGAATGAGTCTTATACTCGTGTTCCAGCCTTCCAAGTACCATAAGGCATATTATCTAAATGTTCCTTCAATGAAAAACTAACCCATTTTTTTTTTTGTTTGTTCCTCAGAAACAGAGGTTGGGTCTCGATGGGAAGCTTCGAGAACGTCGACATATCCTACAAAAAAGTCGGAGACGGACATCCGTTGAGACTTTGGCGCGTTTGCACCGAAGTCGAGGCGCCACCCACCGAGGTGCTTACTCGCATACTCTGGGAACGACAGGTCTGGGACAAAGAACTGGTCTCGGCGCGAGTGGTGATGAAAATGGACACGCAAGCGGAACTTTACCAGTACACAAACACTACAATGGAACCGCATTTGATCAAAGACTTTTGCGTGATCCGGTCGTGGAGGACCGATTTGAATAAAGGCGGTTGTGCCATCGTCGAGACGTCCGTCGAACATCCGGATGCCAAATTACCAAAAGGCGCGGTTCGCGGTATCGTCTTGGCTTCCAGATATCTGATAGAGCCGTGCGGTTCTGGCAAGTCTAGAGTGTTGCACCACTCCAGGGTCGATACAAAGTAAGAAGACATACATAAATACATTCTTCTTCTTGTTCTTTATCTTCTCCTTACAATCCCAACTACATGGGCCGGCTACCCTAGTCCTACATCTCATAGAGTTGGATCTTCTAGATATCACACTGTATTCCTTCCATCCGTCTTTTCTTTGGTATTCCTCTTCCTCTTTTTCTCTCTACATTCATCATCATAACACCCCTCACTGCGTCTGCCTCGTTTCTTCTCATAACATGGCCGAACCATCTCGACCTATTCTCTCTCATTTCGCCCACAATTGATGCAACTCTTAGACTCCCCTTTATGTAATAATTTCTTATTCTATCCTCTAGTTCAGTTTTCTTGTCTATTGCCCAACATGCCGACCCATATAGCATTGCTGGCCTCACTACAGTCTGATAACGTCTACCTTTCAATCGTGTAGGCGTCATCCTGTCCCACAAAACACCCGACGCTCCCCTCAACTTCAGCCATCCACATTTTTTTGTACCACCGAACCTAAGTACTTAAACCTTTAAACCTCACACACTTGATCATCACCCATCTGCATTATATGTCCTGCCCTGTTATTCCTCTGTCTTTTCCTCCACATACATTAAAATATTTTTAAAAAAATAATTACCTAACGTTACATTACTTTTACTCGTTACCCAGGGGCAGGACCTGCGACTGGTATAACAAAATATTTGGCCACATCACTTCGAAATACCTGTCGAAAATCCGAAAATCGTTTCAACACTCGGCCGAAGGACCCGAGAGTAAAGTTTGATGTACAAAAAGTGTTGTATTTATATTCTTATATTATTAACTATTATTATTGTTATATTTTGTAAATATCTATTGTTATATCTTTCGTTGATTCACCTACCTATAGAATATTATGCAGGTACCACCATTTACTTCCACATACATATTCTGGTTATTTTTTATTTTTTTATTTCTGTAACCAAGATGATGAAAAAAACAAAACAATTAAATACCCCCATTGTTATAACAAGTTAGACTGATCATTTAAGAGTGCACTAACGTTTAATAGAATTATTCCTTATATATAAATATATCATTTTATTCTCATTCATATATAACTTTATATTATTATATTTAAAAATACACAAAAAAAATCGATTCCGCCTGAAACGTTATTGCGATAAACCTCTTTGTTTGTACTCAATTGAGATGTGAATTACAATAATTGTTTTAAACGTACCAACTATAGTTCCTATAATACCTAAATAATATGATTCGCATGTTATAATATATTTTACGTTTACTTGTTTCATTAAAATTATACTTTATCGAACACAAATACCTACTACGTACCATTACTTATACAATATATATAAATAATACTTGGGACCATTGTTGTCATTTGTTAACACATCACATGGAAGAGGACTTATACTTAATCTTTATAGAAGTTCGGTAAGTTGATTACCAATTATTTTTAAGCGATTGAACTTTAAAAATCTGTAAAAAAAAAAATGTTTAAAAAATACTATTTATACAAATAATATTATATTAAATTATATTTTATTTAAATTTAAAAATGTTGTGTAAGTGTATTTCGTGTTATTTTTTGTATGATAATTATTGTTAGACTATAGTTACCTTTATTATATAATACTATTGTGTTAAATTTATGTTTTACAAGCAAATAAAATACAAAACATTTGTTTTATGTTTCACGGTTGAATTTTTTTTTTTAATACAAATAATTGAATCCCAATAATGTAAGACACGAGTAAGAAAATCTAAACTCTTGTTCAGTCCTTATAACTAAACAATGACTTATAATAACCGAGAAGCTATTTTCAATGATGAACGAATAAGACCATTCCACTTACAAAAAAAAAAATATATGTGTTTTATACTTTGAATTCCCAATTTTCTCTGCCTTAAAATCTGCCACTCTCGGTTTATTGACATCCTGTTTTAAACGTTTTTGTGAAAGCGCATTTTTGATCTTCTGTTAATTAATTACTTGATCTATACTGAATTTTTTTCAAGTTAAACTGATTTAGTAGCCATTTTAGATATGCCGTCTAATTTTAAGGTGAACAAATAACAAGTTTTTTCTAGTTATTAGACCTCTAAAGCTATTTTCGTTCCCGCAAGAGGTAATTGAAATATCTTTAGAACTAAAAGTTCAGAAATTCGTTATTTCTTGAAATCCAACTCTAAAACTTGTTAGGTATTTTATGTATGTATGTTTCAAATTTTTTTTCTCCAAATTGCAAACGACCGCCATTATTTTAAATACATGTACTTACTTAAAAGCTATAATATTTAGATAGATTATGAGCATATCACTTTAACCCTTGTAAGGTTTTTGATATAATTAAAACATTCTATATAGAAAAAAAAAACAATTTTTAATTCTAACCTTGAGATGGTTTTCAATTTTGGAAAAATTTTACATCAACAGTGATAACAAAATTGACAGAATTATTTTTTGGAGAGGAAAAAGTTGTTTGCCGTTTTGTAAAACCTGGTATTAGGTTTTGGTAACAACAGTGGAACAAATTATTTGCTTATCTAAATTTTGCACATTATATGAAAGGTACACATATGGGTATATAATATATTATATTTTAGTAATTTTCTGTATATTTTCAACGGTATTTGTGAAAAGTTTGTTATTATATTATTTTGTTTTGTAAATAATCAAACGATACAGCGCAGTAGAAAATATAAAAATATGTTGACACATCTGTGTATAAAAATCCTGAAAAAAAGAATGATAACCGATTCGAGAATACTGTCAACTTGACATGATATATACAGGGTGATCCAACTAACGTAAGACACTCATTTTCTCTGAAAGTATGAATATTTTGCGAATTTTTTTTTCCCTAAAATTTTAGGTACATATTTAGCTACATTTTTCAATATTTAGAAAAATTTTATCTTCAACCCTTATACGTTAAATAAGTACGAACCTCGTTTTTTCAAATGGGAACATATGTTTTAAATTCCATAAATATAAAGACAAAAAATCTAAAAAAATGTTAATTTTCATCCAAATGGATGAAAATTAACATTGTTCGCTGTTTATGACTTTGTAAAGATTTGAATTTTTGTCTATATTTCTTAATAATTTCATTCGATTCGACAAAGACAAGTAGTTTTATTACGACGGTCATCACATCAAATATAATAATAATTTGATGTTAACGCATTCCGTATCATAATCAGATATAATAAATAACCATACATTATTAGACGAAAGGTAGACTGTTACGGATAACGGACTTTACACTTTAACCTAATCTAGCTGGAGCTAGTCATTAGCTGGTTATCTCGGATAACAATCTAGTATCTAAACTATGCATCAGTTACCACGGAATAATCGAGTGACCAGTACCAATAATATATTTTATTATTTGTACAAAATCACATTATATTTATTATTTGTACATAACCTCATCGCTAACAAATTTCGACTTCGAAGTTCACACGTTTTCCATTAGTGAAATGAGAAATTGCAAACTTAATTAAAAAATGTTAGTAATTTTACATTTTACTAGTAAGCAAATTAAATCCAAAATTCCTTATTTAGTGTAAATTGTTTAAAACAATTATTTGAGCACAGAACATATTTTGAATAAATTGAACATAACTAAACAAATAATAGTAACGCTTCTCGACGCGTGTCTATTCAATGTATGCACTTATGAGATTGTAAGCCAAATTTTAAAGCTATTGTTTACTACCTATAAAAACTAAAAATTATAATTTTCAAATAGCATAATAATGATCTGTTGTACTGTGCTGTTACTTGTTGAATGTAGAACATAGATAGTAGAAAAATATGATAACTAATGATAATAATATTTTGTATTATCATCATAGCAGCAGTTATCAACCTACTTGTACCACGGTTTTTGATTTTTATGGTTAAATAGCCATTCGTTAGCTGCTGTCAATATAGGTCTGTCAACCTACCTGTCATGACGGTGTGTTAGAAAAGTCGGTAATCTATAAATATGAAACGCTGGTCAAACAAAATATCACAAAACATTTTATTGTGTTTGGTTATCTGTGTACTCATCTATCGGACAATGCGATCATAAATAAGTATTTTATTGGCTCCCGGTCTTTGGAAAACCAAAGAAATATAACAATATTTAAGAGAAAATGTAATATCTTTACAAAGTCATAGCTAACGACTAGATGGATAAAAATTAATAATTCAAACGATAACATATTTTTAAATTTTTTGCCTACAAATTTATGGAATTAAAAACATATGTTGCCATTTGAAAACGTGAACTTAGACCCTTTTTATCGTATAAGGGATGAAAATAAAAATTTTCGAAGCATTGAAAAATGTAGTAAAACTTATACCTAAAAGAATAGGAAAAAATGTTTTTTCAAAATATTCATATTTTCCGAGAAAATGAGTGTCTTACGTTAGTTGGATCACCCTGTATATCAGTAATTACAAAAAAAAAAAAGGCAGCGTTTTATATTTATATTATTCAAAAAGACAATGTCGCCCAGTTATTTATAATATCATTTAACAGGCGACTTAAGCATACTGAACGGACAAACTTTACCAACAGATGAGGACAACAATCAATTAGGCTAGAATGAGATTTAAAAATTCAGTCATTTGTTGAACATTGCATCTTATAGTATTATCTTCTAAATTTTCAACTCAAATTGCCCCTTAAATACAGATTTTTGAAGTATAAAATATATATTAATTTAAATTGAATAAACTATTTAAAAAAAACAAAAGGTTATTTCAATCATCATAGTAACCGTTCTATTAAAAGACGGTAATAAATAATAATCCAAGTAATTATGTATTTTTGGTCGTCAAGGCTAGTTTTCTCTGCCGTTGTCTAGCTACCCTCGACGTTTGAATACGTTTACTTTTCACTTGCCCGCCACCGTTTCAATTACGCACAATTTTCTACAATTTTCTACACACACCAGTAATTTTTTCCCCAAGTATGTTTTACGCGATGCCTGAAGAGCATTCCTCGCCGTTTCGGTCGATTCCTGGCCGTTCCCAGTGGGACGTACTGAGGATGGAACAGGAGTCCGTAATGAAATGGCTCTTTAATACACCGCCAGCTTCGGCTGGCCTAATTTCCGGGACTTCAAACCACGAGCCAATGGACTGGCGTCATGTTGATAAACCCACGAGCTGGGAACTATCGACAACAGACGCGGAGCCCATGGACTGGGAATCGACGGACGCGGAGCCCATGGACTGGGAATCGACGGACGCAGAGCCCATGGACTGTACCCCTGACGAACTTATACGGGTCCGTTGTTAATTGTCATGTTTAGCTTTTGTTGTACACGCTCTATGTTTCACTGTTACTATTTTTTCAGATCAAGTTTTCCATAAATCAGCTCATGGACTGTACCCCTGACGAACTTATACGGGTTCGTTGTTAATTGTTATGTTTAGCTTTTGTTGTACGCTTTGTTTTACTATTATCCTACTTTTTCAGTTCAATTTTACCTTAAAACTATTGTTTTTTTCGTTTATTGCTTTGTTTACTAAATATTAAATTTTAGTAATAATTTTTTGATTTTTGTATACATTTAATTCGCAAAGTTTATTATTTACCATGTTTTCGTTTTTTGATTGATTTTTCTTACATATAAAACATATATGTTATATATATGTTTTTTTTTTACATAATATTTAACATTTGTTTTTGAATTATATTTTGTTCTCTATTCTGTACAATATTAATTGTTTAAATTGTATTTTTTATTTGTTATAATTTATTTTTACACTTGTATAAGAAATTAGAATATTAGTTTTATAATAAAATGTATATTTCTGTCTTTGCTCAACTGGTTTGACGATTTTACTACCTATTTTAATTGTAGCTGTATATTTTTTTTCACATGTTATAGATTTGAATTTTGTTTCATATAATATATGCGCATTCGTTAACATGGTTACAGTTTTTGTTGGATAATGTTTTAGACACTGAAAAACGTTATGAAACAACCACACTCCTTTGCTTGACAACTGATAGATAATAATAATAGAATGTTTATTAAAGTGAACTGCTCAGCAGGTTGACAGTGTGACATGGTGTAAGAATCGGATGAGTTGCAGTTTTAAAACATGATTATAGAAATCTAAATGATAAAATAAATTATAAATTTAATCTTAAGAATTTTAAAATTAGTATGGGAAATTAAAATGGTTAACTGACAATTTGGTTAAATCAACTATACCTATTTACATAACTTATGTAACATAAGTAATATTAATTTTTGACGAGTTCCTCTAAAACATAATAGTTTTGTCAAACACGAATTTATAGCTATATTTTTACTTAATTTTTTGTTGTAAAAATGTTTCCAGTAATAATATTACTGTCTTCAATACACAAAAATGAGTAAACAAATGTGTGATTTTCAGTCAATAATAATTAAAATGTGTAATTAACAAAAAGGCAAAACATTTCTAAATAGTAATAGTTAATTACGGTTAAGTGAAATACATTATTTTTGGTTTTAATACATTTTATACACAATTTGATAAACGATTGTATGGGAATCGAAAGGAATTGTGTATATTCATATGATACATTAAATAAATTTCCTTTTAAAATATGTTATTCACAAGTAATGTATAAATTATTTTGGAAAATTTAGTATAATAAAGATTTGCGTTAAACTCTTTCAGCTAAATCAATTATTTAACATCTAATTTCTAATGGCGCATTAAATATGTGCTTTTGTTTTTATAAATCTGAACGTATTACATCAAATTTGTTATATTCCTTTATCGGAAAAAAGTTACTTTATTTTAATAATTACCACAGTGAACTACAATAGTAATTATATAAGTTTTTTTTTAATTAGAAACATTTTAAATAAGGAATAGCCTACCTAGGTGTTCAATGGTTTTGAGTCACGGCAACTACATACAATACAACAAAAATAAGGTATGCAACACACAGCATCTTCGCCTTTATTTGCACACTTCTTTAAACATTTCGCACATATTTGGCCCATCTTTTTTGCTTTTTCTTCTACACTTCTGTCTTCTACAAACATTCAGAGTTATCAGAACACTAGGTTATTTTAAAGTAGATACTTTTAAAATTGCACACAATTTACTAGCCATTAAGACATTCTAGAAATAAAATATCAAGCTCGTGTCCAACAACAATATTAAGAAGAAGAAAAATTACACTTAACAGGTATAAAATTTTTTAGTATATATATTCAAAACATATATACTGACCGTTTGACTCCTTATGAAGCATATCCGCTAAATCCAAAAATGTTTATAAATCAAATTAAATGTTTGCTAACGATAAATTGACCATTATGGTATGTAGAAAAAATAATAATAAAATGTGTGTTATTTTCAAAAATAACTTGAATGCAGTTTTAAATTAATTCCAAAAAAAATCGTTTACAATAATGTAACAACATAATGATGAAAAACGTGCATTGATTGGGGTGAAAAGTATAAGATTTATATTTACACTTAAAAATATTAACGTTAAGTATCCATTGAGGAATTTAAAAATTCAATGAATAATGTACACTGAAGCTGAGATTAAAGACACTAAAGAAAAAAATGTTTTTTTCTAATTCAGAAATAACACCAGACATTTACTTCATTATTGTTATTATTGTTTAAACTATTTTATACAAAAAATTACATATTGTACTGACGTGTAATACTCTTATAATTTTTTTCCTCCGACTTTTGTTTACCTAATGCAAAAAAAAAATAGATACAAAGCAAATTACTGTTTGCAATTTTAAGGTGCCATTATGTGGTCTTTATAAAATAAATCATTTTGTAGGTATCAATTTTTAAAAGATTTTTTTTTTTAGTTTTTAATTTTTTTAAGGTATAAATATCAGTTTTAAACAAAATGTTGCTTGTATACAAAATCATCATTAGAAAAAGAGGAATAAACCGGTATTTATTTTTTTTTTTTACAAAATAACTACTATCCAACTAATTTAAGCCTTAGAATGTAAAAATTGTGAAAACATTGATATATATATACACCCTTAATACTACTTAATAGTACTCTAAAATATTTTTTTTAGGAGTATAAAATATTTTTAATTTATTCCTCATTTAGTTGCGAACAATTTCGATATACTTACATAACACATTATTCTAACAATAGATAAGAAAAAAAAAACAAGTTTTAAATACAAATATATTTTTTTTTATTATTATTACCCTCGGCAGCAAAGGCCATTATATAATTTATATAATAATATTGATATAATAAATATATAATATATAATAGCTGACCAAAGCAATCATAATGCCTAAAGAGTGTACATATATATTATAGTTATTATATTACTAATATAACCTTCAAATTTCTAAACTATTACAATAAGCGTTCAAGCAAAGACAAAAAAAAACCCAAATAATGTTATAAGTTTAAAAAGATATTTTATAAGCAGTAATTAAAAAAAAGGAACACAGATACATGCACTGATATAATATGTATTTGACGTTGGATTGGTAAATGAACAATAACTTAATAAAATGAGTAAAAAATCCTAAACATTTGGTTTGACTAAAAATGATAATAATTAGTAGGTACCTAGTTATTGTGTTTTATTTATCGATGGCCAACTGGAAAAACTACTCTTAAAAATGTATTCCAAAATTATATTAATTTTTATCAATTTTAAAGTATGTTAAAAGTTTGACGTTTACAAGGCAATAAGATATTAAGAACAACAAAATGGAATAATATAATTATTGTTATCAAAAGTTATGCGTGCTATTGTTCTCAACTAGATATTATTTCTTAAAAAATTTTAATTAAAATTTTTTCACAATTGTCTACTCCATTTGGTAATGTATTTCAACTTTTTATAAAAGAGTTTAAGTTGGTCTTGCTGTGACTTTATAAATAATAAGTTTCAGAATATAACAGTCAATTTGTGATAGTTATTATATTAAAAGTCCAAACCAATATAATACAACATTACTAAAGTATGAAATTGATGTCCAGGAAGATCTTTTAAGAGGGGTTTTCCCAGTTTTTTTTTTTAATGTATAGTACTAGATATTGTTCTACACATTTTAAATAGAACATATAAAACCAGAGATCCATAGTCTTGATATATATAATTTAATGGCATGGAAGTTTGTCAAGTATAATATTTTGTTATAGTGTTGTGCAGTGCAGAATTATTATTGTTTAACCTATTTTCTGCAAAATTGAAAAAAAAAACAAACAAACAAATACTCACTTGTTCGATAAATATTATGTTTGTGTGGGTTTTTTTTTTTTACAAAACATAAACTTGAGTACTTATTTATATAGTTGTGCAAATGTGCAATTTAAACAAGAATGACGCATCTGAAAAATTCAACAGCAACATTTTCCATATACTTATATTATGTGCCTACAACTTTTATCCAAACTGCTAATGCTAATTCGGACCAACTAACTGCACCTGAAAGAGAATACTGAAGCCAAAGTAATTTTTACTAATATTTTAAAACTATTATAGGTGTTTAGCTTATACCTAGCATTTACAATATAAAGGTTAAAGTTTTCCCCCCAAACAGCCATTCTTATCTATAGGAAACTGTTATTATTTTAGCTCAAAGAATATTACAAATGAAATTCGTGTCATAAATCAAAATAAGTTTTTAATAGTTATTGTTTGTTAAAAAAATGGTTTTTATATTTTTATATTAAAGTCAGAATCGTCACTTAATAATTCCAATTAAATTCATTAATCGACTGATAAATGTTTTGCTTAAAACTTTTTTTCTAGCCCAAAAAATTGATGAATTTTCCAACTTGTAAATTATTAAGTTCTATCACTCACTCGATTTGAAAATTAATTATTAGTATCTGAAACTTCTATATTGTAATAATTAATGTATTTAAAATAATTGTTTTTTTTTTAAATTTAAAGTGCACTTGTGTTGTATAGAAAATATTGAAATAACGTCTAGATTAATTTTTATATAGTTTATTAATCTGCTTACTAAAAACTTAAAGCTTAATGTGTTCTTTTTGGCATACCTGTTATTAAAATTTAAATACTTTCTAAATTAATTTTAAAAAAAAACCACGACCGTTTTCAGATAATAGAAGATTCGTCCAGTGATTGTAGAAAAAATTGGATTAGATCAAGAACAATGTAAACAATATTAACTTCACATTTAATCATATTTTTATTTTGGTCATCTTCGTTGCGAAACCACAAAGCAGTCGATTTTAAGGAAATTATTTTCATTTGTAAAAAATTAAAATATGTATCTCATGTTGTTTTTTTCTACAGTACTACTAATTAGTTATTTAATGTTATCAAACAGCATATGCGTCTTCAGAAGTGTTTAACTATATTATTACCATCCGAAAGATGTTTAAAGTGCCCAAAAAAAAAAAAAAAAATAGCACATAATAATATGTAATATACTATTAAAATTGATGAAATCTAAAAAGTAAAGCGAAATAAATAGTTTCTTCAATACCTGTTCGGCTGCACATCGAAGCCAAAAATTAATCGTTTCATCGACAACTGCACCACATCGGGGTCTCCCTATAATAACATATATTATTTATATTTAAATATTCAAAGTTTGTGCTTTTTTTCTTTTGTATTTTATATTATGCAGACTTTTTGGTGAACGTTGTGAAGAAACCATTGCAGAAAAATAAACTCAACCGTTAAAGAATGCGCTTAACAAAGGAAAGACGTAACGATAGTTGAGAATTGGCATATCGGGTACGGCTAAGACGGAAATACAGTTAATCCGACTGTGTAGTCTAATAATAATATGTTGATAATGTCTAACATGTTATCATTAGACTATTTAATAGTCGGGTCGATAGTATTTCAGTCTTAGCCGTTCTCAATATTCCAAGTCTTTTTTTGTCTTTGGGTCTTTCATTTGTTTAGCGCATTCTATAACGGAAAAGTTTAATTCGCTGCAATGGTTTTCAAAAAGTTCATAAAGTATAATATAGATTTTATATACCTAAAATATTATTTTTTTTTTAAATGTTTAAAAATATCTTAAAATGTGAAATGTTAAAAAAAAAAATGTTTCAAAATACAACAAAATTTTCATGACTCCAAAATGACTTGCATCTTGTGCAATATTATTAGTTATTTAAAAAAGGGTTAAATTAGAGTAACTTGATTAAAATGTTTTATCGAAAAACTGTTACCCTTATTGAGGATTATAAATTATGTGTCACTGTTAAAAGAGAAATTTTAAAATAAAAATAACCTTTTAGAAAATATACAATAACAAAAGCTTTATTATGATTGTAATTCTGTTTTCTTCAAATTTAGCAAAATAATGGTTTTCAAAGCGGTAAGTTCAAACACTTATCACCTATAACCGCTTCTACCACCGTATCGCCACAGGAACTGTTGTGAATCGCGAAGAAAATATTAAATTAATCGTACGCGTCTTCGAATACATCATACGAGTCGACGTCGTCAACACTTAAGTCCGACTCGTAATCTTCAGTGTTTTCCAACGGTACTCCGATAGCCATCATTTTCCATTTATTGATGGCTGAAAAATAAACAAATACATTAATCTCTGTCGTAAAAAATACAAAATTGAATCACAAATTTACATTTTATCCAGGCGGTGTAGTTGTTGGCTTCAACGTGATCCAGGTCGTACGTCAAATACTTGTGTCGTCTGCCGCAAGTAAACAAATGCGGCCATTTGTAACCTACGACGTTTTACAATAAATTATTAAATCATTTACTAATTATTTAGTAACCGCAACGTACTCGAGTTGATCATTTTTTCCGCTTTAACGTAAATACCCTGAAAATTCCGTTTGTACGACACGTTTTCATCTTTAATCAATCCGAACAACACCGCTTTGAATAGATACGAGCCGTTTTTGCATCGTACACTGTAAAAATGCATTTTACGACACAAAACATAAATGGTACATTTTATACATATGAAAAATAAATTTACAATAAAACAAAATACGTATCACGTTTAATAATACAATAATGTGTACCTTAACGTGATCGATTCCAAATTGGATTCAACGTGGAACGAGTCAAATTCCAAAATATCGAATTTTAAGTACACGTAAGAAACGTCTTGGTACCAAACACACTTGGGTACAATCGATTCTGCGTTGTTCGTGTTGCAGGTCAAGCAAAAAGGTTGATTACGTTCTGGCGCGTTTCGTCTAGATCTTATCGTTGTTTTTCGAGTACACGCTTTCTCAGATTTCTCGTTCAGTTCATCCGATTCGGATTCAACGTCAACGGTCAATTCGGTTGGTTTTTCTGAACACGAATCATCGTTTTCGGCGATTTCTCTAATCGTCAGCAGCCCGTCGTTTTCTTTCTTATCTTCCGACACTGTTTGAGTAAGATTTAAGTATTCCTAAAAAAAAAAAAATAAATAATTTCAAATATTTGTTACTTTTTTACAAATGAATTTTTAACATACGCCACATTTTGAGGCGTTCACAACAAAAATGACGACCGATTCCATGTGGGTTCAACGACGGGTACCGTAACCTAACTTGGACGGACACAATGAGGGTAATAATTATCGTAGGTTATTCGGAAAATTCACATGAAATCGGTCGTCGATTTTGCGTGCATCATCACAACTACGAGTATGTTTTAAATTTGAGATGCTCAATTACTCTAACCTCTCCTAAAACTGACTTTCCAAATGAATTTAGCAACTCAATTTCAGCTTCGATATCTTCAACGTCCGTCGAATCTAGTAATTTTTCGATATCAAATTGATACGGTTTGTCTTTTTCATTGTATTCTTTGTTGTTATCTTCTTGACAAGAATCGCTACTTAGCGCGTCAATAACACCGACGACCCTATTCATTTGGACTTCATTGCAATGGCGTTTAAATAAATCCATGAAATTCAAATTCACGGTTATATTCTCGTCGTATAGTATTACATCGTAAAGATTGCCGTCTGTAAATTTTGCTTTTACTACGTTGTCGACTACCTAAACAGTTAAACTTACTTCATACAAGTCTATGGAAAACAAATCGGCAAGTAACTAATTCGATACTCACTTTAAGGTACATCGGGTTTTCAGTTAATTGAAAAAAGTAATTAGTCAACTCTAAAAGGTCGTCTTCGTCGGGTACACTCTCGTTAATGCCACTCAAACTACACTCGACAATCTACACAAAAGACAAATTTTGATTGAGCAAATTTTTTTTCAAATTTTGTACAAAAAAAAAGTATTTTTAAAACACTCACTTGAAACGGTAAGTCAGATATCATATTCGGTTGTATAGTGCGTAGACTATTGCGCTTAACGTCGAGAAATTCTCCATGATCGACGAATAGAACTTCCACATAATTGTTATCCAAAATGCTTGTGACCATGGCACGGTTATATCTATATAATATAATATATGTAATATATAGTTAATTTTATAATCTTTAAATCAAATAATTATAAATATTTTTTTACTGAGTGGCGGTTAGGTGTGGATTTCTAGCTAAGCATATGGCTCCTTTAACGATATGAATTAATTTCTCTGCGAGATTTTGTTCAATGTAACTGTCGATTTTTTTTTGCAGATTTTCCAAACTATTTAAAATTAAAAAATAACAATAAGAGTTTATTTTAATATTATGTGAGTTTTTAAAATTGTACGGTTAACAATTACCTGTCGTAGAATTTTGTGTTACAAACAAAAAATTGTCTTGGACTTATGACGTAGCCTATAGATACAAAACAAACATCTTTTTCTAAATGTGCCCACTGGGGCGTCGGCAGTTTGTAAAAAGACATGTAATCATTTAGGGTGAATTCGTCTGGAAATAAATGTTGTCTTGTATCGATAAAAATAGTCCCTCAATATAGTGTCTCTCTTATACTTACAATTATTATCCTCTGTGAGGATTTTTTTTAAACCCGACGGTGTGTTCATTTGAGCTGAGTTACTTAATTCAACAAGTTTGTCAATGTGGTCGAAATTTTTATCGGCATATCCCTTGTCGACTAATAAATCGGGCAATACTAGTTCATTGACGTATATTTTTTTTTTCGCGTGCCAATATTTCCTATACAAGTGTTCCATCCATACGGTCGTACCCAAAGCCATTTTAATCTAAAAAAAAAATGCCGAAAACCAATGGAGGATTTTAATACAATTTTTGACAATTCCTACCGATAGCACGAGAAAAACAAACAACCAATATTCTAACCTTTATTATCAACGACTCTTGGCAATCTTCTATGTATTGTAGATCTTTTTTGACAAGAATGTTGGCTTGGGGACACCAGGTTTTATCGTAGTCGACGGGTTTCACGCAAGCTAAAATCAGGTCCACCGTACTCGTGGGCAAACTTTTTAACCTTTCGGGCAAAACGAATATCCTCCATTTCTAAGCGAGACAATTAATAAATTCATCGAATATAAAATTAATTACATCACAGTCGAGAAACGATATTTTAACACTTACAGACACCGTGTCCACACACCCTTGATCGATCAGTTTGACTTTTGCTTTCGGATTCAGAGTGTCGTTGTCGAGTATGTCCAAAATAATAGCTCTGAAATATTCGTAAATGCCTTCGCTAAACCCGTTGGTCGTTTCTATTTGCACCGCTACTTTGTCGCCGATTTTTAGATTTTCATGAAGAACTCTAGAACGTAACAAAAATGTATTCATTAAATAATATAAAAAAAAAGGTATCGAGGGGCTTACACGAGATGAGAAAAAAAAAACAAATAACATAAATAATTTTTAACAAATTGAGGTTTCGATAAACACTTACTGTTGTTTTTGACTGGAAAAATAACAATTGACTTTGGAACTAGCGACGGAAGAATAATCTTCAACATTCGACCAAAAAGGGAAATCCTCAACACTTTTGGTGTTGCTTAATTTCAAAAGTTTAACAGACATGTGCGACGCGTCGTAAACATTCAATACTTTTATTATAGCAAGTCCAGACCTGAAAAAATACAAAATATGTATTTTAGTAGTAGTATTGTACGTATACGTCAGCGACAATATTGGGCAATTTTTTTACAATAATTACTTAATACTACTGACTTTGGAATATTATCGCACGGTTCGTCCAGCTCTTTGACTAAAATGTGTCGATTACGACACAACTCCGATTTTGGACAATGCCCGAATTGCTGTAAGTTTGGACAAAAAAGTAGGTTTATCTTTGTTTTCTCCAACTCTTCGGATATAAGCTAAACAAAATATTTAAAAAATACATTCATTACATTGAATTACTTAAAACTAAATTGATTTTAAATTAAAATATAATGTATACTAGCTCTTAACATACATTTGCCTGTGTTTCTAGTACTGGATTCACTTTACCGTTGCCGAATAATTTCATTTGTTGTACAATTTTAGGCAAGTCCATCATATTTTTTTCGTTTAAAAATACATATGTATTACGAGTCTTTTTCTAAAAAAAAAAATGTAAGATACGAATAAAACTACTTGATAATAATTTATTATTAAAATTTAAATAGTTACTTGAAAATTAGTACTGGAAACTTGCAGAACGCTAAATCTGATTGAAAATTTGTGTTTTTTAATTGGCATGTCATAATGTATCAAACAGTCGGCGCTGTCGATGTAGAAATCAAACAGCATATCGTCATTACAAATCAACACGAATTTGTTCTTAGTCAATGGTTTTTCCCAACTTTGAGATACATAAACTATTGGGGCAAAAAAAAATGTAGAAATACTACATTATACTACACGGAACCTAAATTGAGCTTTTAACATAATAACGCCGTTTAAATTGCTATGCGATTAATTTACCTTTTGCACTTTTTAAATCTCCTGGCAGATAAATTTCCAAATCCGAATTGTGTTTATTTAAGTAATGCAATATTTCTTTATGATCCTTGCAACTCGATGTTATCAGGATACACCGACGTCCTTCGATGTTCTCTTTCAAACATTCTAAAATTAACATCGATAAATGCTATATAGTAAAACATTTCACAACGGGTGTTAATTTCAATTTATACTTGAAATTTTTTTCATTTTGTCTGTAACGGCCGGTATAACGTGAAATCCTATTTTCATATAACGTGCCGCCTCTAAATGTGATCCGAAAACATACTGCCATTTTACAAACAGTGCATCCAAATATTCGTCCACGTGTTTACTCCACTTGACCGAAGCCGCAACGAACTGTATTGGTTTTTCTTCTTTTAATTTTGAAAGCAATTTGAAGAAATATAACATCTGAAAACAGCGAATACGGTCGTCACCATCCCAAAGTTTTATAATAATAATCTGAAGTTTTTTTTATATTTGACTAAATATGTTCAATCGCTGGACCGTTATTTCAATAAGGTCCACAAGTATCCTATTTGACTTTTGCGTCTCAGATTTGTCTTAACGTTTTAACTTTCTGTAACTGAGAGCTAAAAAGGTATCACTTAAGTAAGCCAAACATTAGAGAAGTTCACCCCTACCCCTTCAATTTTAAGAACACGGTTGGCGAGTTTTGAAGAGGTGACATAATTTTTTTTTAATTTCACTTTAACAAGCAGTGTTTTGGTAGTTAAGATTTGAAAATAATACTGAAGGTAGTATATAGTGAGATGATCTATAGTAGATCTATAGTGGGATTATAACATACACAATTTTCTCAAAAATCTGCTTGGTCTAATGGTTTGTCTTTACTATGTCCCGACGCCACTGTGTTGGCTGTTTTTTGCATTTTATGTTATTATTATCATTTATTTTGTATGGCTATTATTGAATGAGGTCAGGTTTTAAGCCTAGCTCAGTCGCCTAAGCGGAGGATGGTAGTCTCTCTATCTCTCTCTAGATAGTTGCCTGCCCAAAGAAAGACCACTTGTAGCCACAACAATACTTGACGACATTTAAATTTAGAAAATAACTTGTTTATTTTTTTTTTTATTGTAATCAACGTGTAATTAAAAAAAAGTACTTACAACATCTTCAAAAATTCATCTTAAAATAAACGGTTTGAGATAAAAAAAAATCTACAAAGCCTATTTCGATAGCTACTAAGTTGAAAACAATTATTAGAAAATTCTGAGATGCAAAAGTCAAATGAGAAGTTTCAATTTACTGGAAACCATCTTGCGAGAATAATTTTTTTATACACAAAAAAATATATTTGTATACTTTTAAGTTGTCAACAGGCATTCAATATCCATTTTAGATTAGATAAAACTTAAATTAAAAAAATGCCCACACTAATCACAAGAACAGAAGGTACATTTCCAATTTGGCGAAACAAACTACTATCGGACCAAGACAATGCCGGCGAAGAATGAAATAAACTTTTACAAACTATAATATAGTTATATAAAGTTATTACGTCATAACTTCTTCAGTTGTCGAAAAGTATAGTAAAAAAATGATACTTAGAATGGTATCTCTAGTTAAATTGCTGTATAATAATTGTGTAAATCATATTTACTTGTTCTTTATAATTCCCTAAAAGAAGATCCATATTGTCGAAAACAAAATGTTCCAAGTTCGACCAATTAAACAGTTTCATGTTATTCAACAGATACTGAAAACTTGACGGCGTGGCAATAAGAATATCGCACCCGTTAAGTATAGATACCTATAAAAAAAAAAAAATTAAATCTGTAAGTACTCTCAATTTTACGCTAGGATATATAATTTAAAAAATTGCCACATAGGTCAAGTTTGCTCACTATTGTTTGCTGCACTGAAATGGATGAACACGCGTGAACGATTTTGATACTTTTATTAGGGACCGATTTAACCAATTCTTTAGCTAAGCTGTCTAAAACACTGCAAGATCCCAATGAACTACTTAATATCACACATTTTGGTCCCAAAGTATAATTATCCTATAATACATAACAAAAAAAAAAATTATACATAATATATAGTAAAATGTTTAAAAGTTAGTATTATTATATTTTAAGTGTATTTATTTTCAATAAATATTGGTTTAAAAAAATCATACTATATTTTTAAAAAAAGAACAAAAATCAACTTTTCTAAATTTGAATTTGTATTTTTATCCATCTCTCGACTTTAAACATAGCGTTTTAGTTAATTTAAAAAAATAATTGAACTATGACTATAAAAATTATTAATTTTGAAGAAAACTTGCCTCCTTATTGTTATATAAAATTAAAGAGATTGTACTTGACAGATACGATAGTGATTTTCCTTTTGAAAAACCGACCATCGATAAGTTTTGTTTGTTCATTAAATACTGGAAAGAGTTTTGTTGAATAGGTTCCATTCGTCTGACATGTAACCTATCAAAGTTCTGAAATCAATAAATATATTATGGTTAATTTATTTCAAGTGATAAACATCAATGATTTAAACCTGAAAGATTACCTCTGCTATATAAGGATGCAGTTTAGAATGAGCCCAATCGCTAATAAACAACTTTTCAAATGGACCGTAAACAGGCAAAGTATTAGTGTTGTTTTTTGAAATGTCATAAAATAAGCTACAATAAAACAATGAATCAAATACATATATTTCACTAATAACTGTACAAAGAGTAACATTATCATAGAACTTTTTTCGTACAGTTTAAACAAAACAATAATTATTAAATTGTTTATAACAAAAATTCTTACCTACAACAACGCATAACTTATAATATTATGAAAAAAAAAAATTTAAGCATGCTATACAATAATTTTGAAACATCAATAATTTCTTTATTGCTTAAAATCGTTAAGTTTGGTTAGTACCTAACTAAGATAATATAACATTAAACTATTTACTTACTCAGGATACGATTGCAACGGGATACCTGTCATTTTAATGGTTTTTTTTTTCTATAAGATTTGTATAATATAATATTTATAGTAAATTTAGAATTACAACAGCTACGGATTAGACAGTATTGCAATAAGAGTTACAATACAAGAGCATTGTGCAAGTTAAACAATAAACTGTAATATATAATTTTTCGTCAAAAAGGCGGCAAAAGTATGATATAATTTCGGCGATTTTAAACTAAAAACACTTTATATTACTATATATTATTATTATGTTTTATTAAAATTAACCGAAAAATAGATATTAGCGCAACAATAAATGAGTGTAATAATACTGTGACAATGATGGGAACTTCGGTTATTTTTAAAAAAATTAATACACACGTTGCTTTGAGTGTGTATTTACCAGTAGGCAGACTATAATAATATGAAACCGTGTAGTTAATAGACAACAATGTTATCTAATCAAACCTTGATTTGAATTTTTTTATTATGGGCTGTGATAATCATAGATAAACGATATATGTATATCTATGGTGGTAATATACACTATCAACCTGTTACCACAGCAAAATTTGATAATCACAAATTCCCACAGATTACCGCAATGTTATCAGAGGAGCAGAAAACAGCTGATTTCAAGGTCGTCCACATTAAATATTTTCATGTAAACAGTAAATACTGCAATAATAAGAAATATTGTGAAAATCACAGCCACCACAGCGCGCGACCTTTAAAGTTAGAAAAAATACAAAAAAATAATGATAAACATATTATAATACATTATATATTTTTTTAATGATTGCGATATTGCATAAATACTATTGAAACCGAATTGGACTAGTAAAAATGTGTTGCTAGTACGCGTCATGTGAATATGAGAAAAACGGCGATCCGTCGTTTTTAACTTGTTTTTTTTTTTTTTATATATATTCTGTTCTTGAACTCAAAGTCCGAATTAAAACGTTTCAATAAACCTTCACACAAATAACAGTGATTTGTGATATCAGAAACCAATTGTTATGGGTAACACCAGTGGAAGCCAACGGCACAAATCAGCGGGTTTGATCGTTCCGTCTTCGCCGACTAAGGAAGTACAAAGTCAAGCGTTTGTGTTTGATAAAAATTTAGATCCGAACGCGTTGCACGAAACAAAACCGTTGTTTACAAAAACTGCACCCAAGTCGAATGTAAGATAATAGTTATTACTGATTTCACTAGACATTCGTTTAGTTTAAAGCCTACTTTTAATAATAATAATGGTGCATAGCTCGTTGTCTAAAAACAATAAATAATAATGTTTTCTTTTCAAAAGGACGATGATTTTACCGACGGCATACCGAGATCGTTGTCTGCAAATGATACCGAAAATAAAATGTTACCGACAGTGTTCAGATGGGAAGGTGGAGGCAAACAAGTATTCATCAGCGGTACTTTTTCTGAATGGAAACCCATTCCAATGGTTCAAAGGTAAAACTCAAAATGTAGATTTTATTAATAACTATACAATCCTAGTAAATAAATGGCGTCGCCGAATTTCCAACCATCAATGATTAGCGCTGACGCCTTACTCTGATAGTTTATTCCCCTTTCAAGTTTCATAACATAAATCTACGTGCTATTTGCAATAACATAAGTATTCGAGTGTTGTATAGTGTTAAAACAGTACTAAAGGTAGTGATAATCGTACATCTGATTAATTTGTATCAGGTATTATAATGCATTTACTGTACCTTAAGCCTTAATTTAATAACAGGCTATAATAAAATCAAACAATGTACAAAGATAACAAACTCTTGTTAGTCCTTAATTGCCTTTAAATTATCTAGTGCTTTACCAGATTAGACAAAATATTAATAGGTTTAGTGGTTCATTGAAATTTAATCGACCGATCACAGGTCACTGAATTATATTTAAGGAACCACTAGACGGCTTTTGATTCACATTGATTCACACAATTACAATTTTATCATTGTCTATTTTTTACGTTTGCAGTCACAACGATTTCGTAACTATAATTGATTTACCCGAGGGCGAACATCAGTATAAATTTTGTGTTGACGGAAGCTGGCGTTGTGATCCTAAAGTTGTAAGTTTAATCTAATAATAATAATAATAAAACGGAAACTCGAAAACTTCAAGTAAAAGTATATTTTTTTTATACCATAGTCGATGATTGACGGCGATCCAGGCATAACTAATAATAAGGTGGTAGTGAGAAAAACCGATTTTGAAGTGTTTCAAGCGTTGGATGTCGATTCGATTGGTGAAAACGGCAACGAAAAAAGTGAATTAAAGAAAACTACTTTTCATAATGATATTGTACCTACTAAAATATTATATTATTCGATTTTAGGTGGATTTTCCCAAGACATTCCTTCTTCGGTACCTTGGCAAAAAGTCTCCGGCCCTCCGATATTACCTCCACATCTGTTGCAAGTGATACTGAACAAGGACACTCCGTTATCGGTAATTGTTGATTTATTCTACAATTGGTTTTTATCATTGTATAATTACCGTACCTACATAATGAGATATAATATTATGTCTTATATTATTTAGTGCGAACCGACACTCCTTCCTGAACCCAATCACGTGATGTTAAACCATTTGTACGCTCTTTCGATCAAAGACGGAGTTATGGTATTGAGTGCAACACACCGTTACCGAAAAAAATACGTTACCACACTATTGTACAAACCAATTTGATTATGGTATGAAAATATATTTGTCTTTGAATATTGATATATTATATTATTGTACATATAATAGTTGAAAATACAAGTAAAAATAAATTAAAATCGTACTGGCATGTGTTAGTAATGTCTTGTACTAGATTACAAAAAAAAAAAAGACGACCGCTTGTGTCGATTACATATCTATTTTTTGTCTTTCAGTCTTAGATATTAAGGACATTTTCCAGTTACTGCAGCTATCCCGTATAGTTTACCGTTGCCAATTAAAGGTACGGATAAACTTTCTCTTTTCATTCTGTCATTCCTTCCGACAAATTCGATTTTTTCCCTGCAAACATTTTATTTTGTCAAATTTTCGTGTTAACAAACGATATGATGTACGTTGTTCGTTTTAAATAATCGACTTACGATATCCAGTCCGACCAATAATATTTATCGTGCGTGATAGCCAGTCCGAACGGATAACTACAATTTGCTACAGCGGTACGTTGTAAGCGGCTATCTATCCCAACACATTCTGTAATAAAACCACAATAATAGTGAATTATTTCAATTGAAACGGCAATTTCGAGTTATCTTACCGATGCTCTTCAACCCTGCGTCCGTCCAACAAACTTCATCCGTATACCAATCGATGGCCACAGAATTGGGCAACTTAACGCCGGATCCTTGAATGAAAATTTCTCGCTGACTGCCGTCCAGATTTGACCACTCAATTTTCGGGCTGTTTCTATTCCAGTCGGACCAAAATAGTTTTCTAATAGATAAATCGAAAAGAAAAACACTCGTTAAACACCACATTGTAGTACATTTTTTGTCAATTTCAAACCTCCTGTGCGGGTGCACTGCAATTCCTCTTGGGTTACTCAATGAAGTGTTTGCAATCACTGTGACTTGAGTCGCATTCGACAATTCTGCAGCCATCACACGTTTCATGTCCGAATCCGTCCAATAGATTTTCCTGCTTATCCAATCCACAGTCAGGCCTTCGGCTGATTTGGCGTCGGTAGCTATGAACTCTTGTACCATTGAGCCGTTGAGTTTGGCAGATTTGATTGTCTGCCCTGTTATATCGCTCCAGTATAACTGTTCGTCCAAGCAATCGATGGCCAAACCTGTAACGCACGTAGTAAAACAATTTTTTTTTTTTTTTAATATTTTTCAGAACAATAAACAATTTATTTACCGATAGCGTTTTGATAAAATTGCAAATGAACCGGATGCCCTGGATTTGACTTATTCGCCACAGTCGGAATATGCAACGTTGCCATCCCTTGATTTACGAGTAAGTAGGTATCGTCTTTTGTTGTTTTTTTTATCGCTTTAAACAAATGTTAACTTAAAAATAATTAAGGGTAAAATAAGAGTCTGAGCAGAAGTGTTTTTAATATTAATAAAACACTTGGCTACAAAAAAAAAATATATATATATTTTATGTATGTTACTGAGTATTAAGTATGTAAAAAAAAAATGTGTTTTTTTTTATAAACATTCCATGTAAATAGTTTAAAGTTTGTTTTATAAATATATATATATATATATATATATATATATGTATATTAATGTTTTAAAAACAGACAATTGTAATTTAAATAAAAATGTTTATACGGTTGAATTTTATTTTTTTGTACAACAGCAATAGGCTGTTATTATTATTATTATCAATTACCTTTACAGTATAAACCGTTTCCGATGTATCCTTGTCTGCACTGGCAATTGTACAATCCTGATTGGTCGTACACGCATTGTGCTGACGGATGACATATGCTGCTGTTTGCGATGCACGTTTCAGCGCACGACAGTTGTCCATCGGTCCAGGTTTCCTTGTAACCCTTTTATGATCAAAAATATATTTATTAATATAAATCGGCTTGTTCGTTGCACAAAAATCTTGCATCGTATAGAAACATAAAATATTAAACATTTAAAAAAAAACCATTGTTGTATGATCAATATAAAAGCTAAATATTATTGCATTCGACTGTTTCAAACAAACAACTGTTTTATACACTTAAATTGGTTTAGATTTATACTTTCTCGTTACCTGAGTGCAAGAACATTTATAAGCGCTTCCTCTGTTTGTGCATTCCGCGTTCGGTGGACACGAAGAGGCAGTGCAACCGTTATCGACTTTGTCGCAAGAGGTGACACCGTTGCCTCTGTATCCGGTATTGCAACGGCATGCATAATCGTTCCTTTCCAGCTGAACGCAATTGGCTAACGAGTGACACTCATACGAACAACCTACGGATGATTTGTTGTATTTATATATTTTACATGTGTGTAATTAATTTTTTTTTTTTTCAATTTTTATTAAGATAAATTATACAAACTGTACTAGTGCCATACAATAATATGTATGAGTGTAAAAGAGAATGAGATAATAAAAGCAATAATACTGCTAAACTAAGCCTGAAGATTTCTGTGAAGCCATCCAGCGACAGCACTTTGGTGGGAATAGTTTATTTATATAATATGTAATAAACTATAACATAAGTGATTATGTATATTTATGTACAGGGTGATTCATTAAGGATAAGACACTCATTTTCTCGGAATATATTAATATTTTGAAAATTTTTATCACCAATCCTTGAAGGCCAAAAAGGGGGATTTTTTTTTTTTTTAATGACAACATATGTTTTTGATTACATACATTTGTAGACAAAACATATTTTAGCGTTTGAATTTTGAATTTTCATTTATTTGTTCATTTGTTATGACTTTATAAAGATTATATTTTTTGACTGTATTTCTTAATATTTACAATCGTTACTACAAAGACGAGTAGTTTTATTACACGCATAAAAATAATTTGATAAAGTGGGTTTGTAAAACCAACCTGTGTACCTGTGTTGGAATAGGTAATCTGCAGATAAGAACTGTTTGTCTATCATTATTTCAAAGTCTTTTCATACCAGTGACTTTTTTATATTAGAATGTTATCGCCAAATTGACAATGCGAATATAAATATGAACTTTATGTGCTATACCGGTTTTGGAAAACCGAAGAAGCATGATGATTTTAAGAGAAAATGTAGTATCTTAACAAAGTCATAGCTAATGAACAAATAAATGAAAATTCAAACGATAAAATATTTTTTTTATTTTTTGTCTACAAATGTATGTAATTAAAAACATATGTAAAATAACATATAAAAAAAACTAAAATCCCCCTTTTTGGCCTTCAAGGATCGGTGGTAAAAATTTTCAAGATATTGAAAAATATAGTACAATGTGTACCAAAAAATATTGTTCAAAATATTAATATATTTCGAGAAAACTAGTGTCTTATTCTTAATGAATCACCCTGTATGTATGTGCTACGCTAACACCATCTTACTTCATCGACTAAAACGTGCGTTCTCACAAGTCACCTCGTGGGGTTACCCGAAATTAGAGAATTTAAGTGGAGATGGAGGTGTTTATGACCATTTTTTTTTTTTTTTTAGTGTTGTTTTGCAACTAAGGTGTAAGTCTGTGCGAAGAGTGTCGTTAGAAACGCGCGGAGGGGCATTCGTGACGAGGCTGAGAGAATTCTTGTGATTGAGCCACTCGTATGTTTTCAATATTTTTGTCTTTTCGGCAGCTCCCCACAGATGGATACCACGAGTGTGGATTTTAAGTTTGAGGTTTGCCCCCCCCCAAGACACTAGGTGCGGAGAAGAGAGAGTCTGCGGTCCAGCGATAATCACAAAGGATTAGCTAGCTATGTAGTGAGACTTAGAGAGGTGGTGGACCAAGTTTGAAATGATTTATATTTATTTAAAAAAAAAAAAATCCGACTTCTTCTTACGCGATCTTTGGCATTTGTTGTTGTATCTTTGGAAACCTTCTTCGCACGTGCAACTGTATATGAAACTCGTCTCGTTGTACATGCACCTCTCGTTGGTATCGCAATTGGAGTCTGCAGCGCATTCACCCGACGGCGTACATATGATACCGTCTCCTTCGTATCCACTGTTGCACACGCATCTGGTGTGGCCTCCTTCGCCTGCCTCGCAGGTCGCATGCATATCGCAAATGTTCGATTTCTGGCACGATATTTCTAGAAAACGGAGATGTGAAATTGTGTTGAAAACACTACCGCGCGGTGTCCATCAGCAATTGATTAGCTATTTCGTTCTCACCTATAACGGAACACTCGTATCCGTCACCTTCGTAGCCCGGATAACATTGGCATCTGTGTTGTTGTTGACTCGCAACGAACACACACTGAGCGTGGGCGTGACACGAATTGATCTCGGCACAAGAAACTGTGTAAATAAAATATTGTAACATGTAAAATTAAATTGGGTCCTACAGAGAACTGCAGGAACTATTCGGAAAACCAATCATACTGGCGGAAATACGCCACAAGAGACTGAGTTGGCTTGGACATGTGCTTAGGGCTAAGACAATAGCAAATGATGTATTAAACAACTGGATTCCTCAGGGAAGGAGGCCGATTGGAAGACCGAAACAGAGATGGATGGACAAAAATAAAAAGTAACTAAACCAACTCGGGATAGACAATATTATTGAAGCAGCTCTGAACAGAGACAGATGGAAAGAGATTTGTTTTGCAGCAATGGGCCTCAATGGCCTTTAAAGCTGGGAGAAGAAGAAGAAGAAAGTTAAACGACACGCTATGTTGCCCATGCCCCATTGACTACTGACCAGAAGATTCTGTCGCGTTGTCGGATCCCGTATTGGGGGGAATACTGTCGGTAAAAACGCAAAAGTTGCCCACTTCAGTGTATCCGGCCGGACACCAGCACGAGCTTTGAGTGCATGTCTTTTGTATTTGACATCCTTGTCCCACGTACCTGTCGCCTTCTAGACGACACTTCGGACCTAAATATTGTTCACCGAGGGATATAAGATGATAATCAATGGCGGATTTTGTCAGCTTACCCAACGGTTGACACCTCAGTCCGTCTCCCGTGAAACCCGGCTTGCAAACGCACGAGTAGCTTCCCGGATAGTTGGTACAATGACTGTCCCTGTGACACACTTCCGATATTGTGCATTCGTTGACGTCCACGCATTCGAAATCGTTAGTGTCGGCCGACAACATCCGTATCTCGTATCTGTAACCGACGGGAAATGACAAAATTTAGACTAAATATATACTGGCCTAAAAATGCAACTTCCTTTACCCTCTGACGCAGGAACAAGTGCTTATGTTGTCCGGCGAGTCGCAAACGGCGTTGAGTATGTTGAATGGTTGCCGTTCTGTCGACGGCGGTGGTTCTGAAAAAAAGGCAAACGAATAATTAAGTCAATCTCTAGGAGATTATATACAGGGTGTAATGTAAAGTCCTACCGAGCTTCAAATGAGACATTCAGGATGCTCTATGGCTACAATAAATGGTATTCACTTTTTTTTTTAATTTAAAAGTTATTTAAAACAAAACTCGTATCTCATTAAAAAATGGTCTTACGAAAAAAATAATTTCAGATTTGAATCGGGAGAAAAAATCTTGTTGTATTGATATGTAACATGATTTTTTTGGTATCTGGCCACACTTGCGTCCACCGAGTGGCCGGCATGTGACCAAAACCAACATATGGGGTGTGACACAAGTGTGGCCAGATACCAAAAAATCATGTCACATATCATTTCAACACGATTTTTTCTCCTGATTCCAAATCTGAAATTATTTTTTTCGTAAGACAATTTTTTAATGAGATACGAGTTCTATTTTAAATAAAAAAAAATAAATACCATTTAGGGTACCCATAGAGCATCCTGAATGTTTCGTTTGAAGCTCGGTAGAACTTAACATTACACCCTGTATATTTTTTTCTTGCTTTAACAACGAAATTGACTAGTCTTCTATACCTGTGACTGAAATGATTGCGCCACAATAATAGCCGTTACCCTCGTAGCCCGGTCTGCATTGACAGCTGTACGAGCCTATCTCGTTGACGCACATGGCGTTCGGATCGCATCGGTCTATTCTGTCTTGGCACTCGTTGATGTCCACACAGCCCGATTCGGAGCCATACAGCGAATGGAATCTGCACGGCGAGTCATACAAGAGGTGTATAATATCAAAATGTTTGGATGAGAATAATTGTACTTTTTTTAAAAGGTCAATCGTGTCCTACCCTGGGTTACATTCGCATCTAAACGTGCTGCCGTCTCTCACGCACGTGCTGTTGGCCACGCACTTCGCTTGTCCGTCGTTGCAGGGATCTTGAATATCGTCTGCAGAAAACAATAGGACGTTAGCTTTATTGTAATATTGGGCTGACTCGTCATTGAAGCACAAGTTTCAAAGCACGCGAGTCTCAGTTTTTCTGAACAGTCGGGTTCACGCCGCTTGTACTGCTTACCGGTTGGCAAGAAAATATTGTTGGTGCTGACCAGTCGTACGATGTTGACCTTCTCCTCGAAATAAGCGAACGCTTTAGAATTTTGCATCAGGAACGCCGTGAACGCCTTGGTGGCTTTGTTGCACGGCTGCGTGAACTCGAATCTTTGCGCCACGGTCACTTGCTGCTCGAACTCCGAACCCTCTTGTTTGTACCCGTAAGTGTAGTACGAATGCATGCGACCTGCGACAACAGACTTGTTAGATTCAATAATATGCTGCTAATTCCCGTACGCGCAGCAACACACATACCGTTGGAAATGGTGTACTGCTGTTTGGCGTCCGACGGCAACGAGAATCTCGTGTGAGGCAGAGGCACTTGTGGCGTAGTTCCCTGTACGGTCGCGTCCATCACCAGTTGGTCGAACGAATTCAGTCCGAAGAACCGTTGGTGAATGGTTATCCTGTGTTCGGTGCCTGGGAACGTCACTTCGGCCGTGTAGTTGACTACGCCACCTGTTTTCCAGAAATCAATACAAAATCATACCTAGTTAAATGATGATTTCATTGACATTAAATTTAACACGTGTGTGTGTGTTCTAGAACCCCGGTACCCGTATTTGTCGCTATTCGATGGTTTGCAAGGCTCTATTAAAGGTTTTCACATAGGTATTACATATTATATTATGTTAACAGCTTGCGCACGAGTCCGCAACACCACGGGATACGTTTTTATGTACCTAAGGTGGCTAGTAAACATATCAAGTTTTCTGGCTAATATTTTAGTGTTTTCATAATAGCTGACCCAAAACAATTCATAGAGCATTTGGCCCCTTAAATTATTGAATTTATTATTCATTTATATTTTGAACGTTGTGAATACAACATATATGCCGCCACCCCCACCCTCATATCTCACCCCTATCTCTTATCGCTTTCCTTATCTCTTATCTCTCTTATCAGATAAATCAGCTGTTATTTTTCGTTATGATAACCGGTGTCGGTGTCGATCACAGATATATATATATAATAAACTAGATTGCTAACTAGCGATAATAATTGAAGCCGACGGTCCGCCATTCTGGTGGGATTTATGTGTGTTATCAATGCATATTATATATATCTGTACCTACATATATATATATATATATATATATGTGATTGTTATAAACATATATTATTCTCGCGTGATTAAGGTTCTAATTCCCACCAAGATGGCGGAAAGTGGCTGCTTCAATCTTCTCTATTGGTGGCATGTACAGTTAGCAATCTAGTTTATTATATATATCTATGGTGTCGATTTTTCCGGTTGTGTTCCAAAGTAAAAACCATACCTCTTATCGCTTTCCCTTATCTCTTATCTCTCTTATATTATCAGATAAATCAGCTGTTATTTTTCGTTATGATAAGCGGTGTCGATTTTCCGCGTGTGTGCGCCATAGCAAAGACATAGAAATGTCAAAAACATATCCATGGTGAAACTTGGGGTATCCTTGGAATGCTTGGAGTGCACTCAGATTACTTGAGGTGCAGGGATACCGCGATGAGTACAATTTGTTTTAAGTTCAATAACGGGATTCACCTGTTAACTGATATCCGTTGAACGTATTGTCGGAGTGCAGGGAGAACAACCAGGAGACGACCGAAGTGAAAACGGTCAAGTATTGCAGTTCATAACCAAGATTGACTGGCACGTTGGAGATGGCCATGTACACTCGGCCGTCCATTGTGGCGACGTATGCTTGCAAATCGTTGTCTTTCACAGAAACGCCGTTCACGTCGATACTTACTTTGCCGCTGACACGAACGGGTACGTCTGAAATGTGGAAAAGAAACACACACCGTTTTACACACCCTCTCATTGGACTATGGCCCATGGACTCTTACTGTCTTTAATACAGGTCACTCCGTTTCCGAAATATCCTTGTTTGCAAATGCAACACATGTCTCCTCGTTCGTAGTCCACGCATGACGCTTGGTTGTGACACAAAGCTCCGGCTACAGCACAAGTCAAACCTTCGTCTGTGTGTGTGTGTGTGTGTATTACATAAACAAGGTCAATTAATAATCTTCGAATATATTGTATTTTACCGGAGCACTTTACCCGGTCTGATACTTCCAGGAAATTCCGGCGGTTCCACGTTTTCGTTAGGCCCAATATTGCCCACACGGTACAACCAAATCCCCGGCGTGTCCGTATTGCTCCATCTAAATAGTAAACGTAACAAATTTCAATATATAATTTCGATATCATAAAAATTATCAAAAAGAATACACAAGAGGTAGTGGCTTCGATGGCGGACAAAATGAGAGGAAATAAGGTCTGCGAGATGGTCTGGGCATGATGTCAGTAAGAATGGCAATTAAAATAAACTTAGAAGAAAAGAATGAAGGCAACATTGATTTACACAAGGTAGCCAAAGAGGGAAGGTTTTTCGTTGGATATCACCCCCCTCAATAAAAAATGGGGATAAGCCGCTGTGCGAAGGGTGTGAAGACACTGAGACAACATGGGTGGATCCGAAAATGATCAAAATAATACTAATTTAACACAATCGTATCGGTATTAAATATTGTTTTATTCCATCTCGATTGACTTGTACTATTTGTGTTATGTTTGTATATTACAAAATATATTGTTATGTGCCTACCTATACTTCCTAACAGCAGAGGTCAACGACAATACATTGTATTAAAGTGCAAAGAATAAGGAAGCGCAATGAACTCGATGAACTGTGCTTACACAAACCTATCATCGAATAATTGTTATTTATAGGTATGCAGCTAATTTGTTTTATTTTTGACGTACTTATCTGTATGAATAATTTTATATTTGTCTGCTGACGAAACATCTCAAACACGCCTGACGAAATAGATTTTTGTTCATTATCTTCTGTACATTAAATTGTACACAATAATACATATACTTATATTATATATGTTGATTGTTGGCGGTTCGGTTAGGTATGAGATTGTTCGACCCAGTGGCGTAGAATTAAACACAATAATACGTTGTCATAGTCAAGTAATACAATATTTAAAAACTATTACACTTTTAAAATTTCAGTAATACCGTATTCGAGCTGAGGATGATAGCATTGATACTGACTTTTAGGTATACAGGTTGATTCATTAGAGTAAGACACTTGGTCTATCTTTTTACCGGTCAACATTTTCAGCCAATTATTATTTATTTGAAAAAGTAAATTAAATACATACACAGTATCATTTGAGTTTCAAATGTTAATAGCGTTCCGGTAAATGCTAAAAAAGATGAATTTTGGTATTTTTATAATTATGTACTATACAGTCTATAATATAAAAATAGAAATGTTTTCAAAAATAAAGAACTGTAATTGTTTTCCAAGAAAATTAATCTCTTATCCCTAATGAATCCACTAATACTGAAAAGTGTATTTTTTTTTAGTAGGACTTCGTACCGGTGATTTTCAGAGGTAAAAACATGTTGCTTAGACTGAGTGAAACTATTTTGATTTTGGTTTTAGAGTAAAGGCACCCATAGTAAAATTTAAAGTGGACAATAACACGAAGGACACCTCGATTAGTTTTCTTTAAGAAAGTCTCTAAAAGCTCTAAAATAGAGTCCTGATTACTGAACTAAAAGTTATACACATCACAGTTTAACCTTTAAATTAAGATTTTACAAAAAATTACCTATACGTTACTCCTTAATAAATAGTATTAACAAAATATACCATGTACAGGTCACTTTTTCAAAACTCACTCTCTTATGTGTCCCTTCTGGTTTCACTCATACATACCTCTACTTGTGGTAAGTGTCTAAATATTGGATCTTTAATTATTTTGAAATTCTCGTTCCAAATCAAGTGTGGGCGACACTCTAAACTTTATTTTCAGAATGACCCTCCATAATGACTCCATAAACCTCCTCCTCCATGACTTAAGTATATTGCTAACCTGTCGAGATTGTGGATCTGATCACTCCCGGAGCCCCTGAGCATGTGTATGCGTCCGTCGGCCGCGCTGAATCCGGCCTGGGCCTTGGCGTCCGGCAAACCGGTCTCGGCTATGCCGCTGAACGACTGCACCCACTCGATGGGCGACGGGTAGGCGAACTGCACGAACGTCTCCTGGCCGTCGGTGATGATGGCCACCTGGAACGTGTTGGCCTTGTCCGCGTTCTTCTTGTAGTAGCCCACGCGGTACCACGTGACCACGAACACGGTGACGGCGCGGAACCGGCCTTCCGTGTGCGGGTAGAACCGCCTGATCATGTCGTTGGCCTGCGCCAGCGTCCTGGGGTCGCGGGCCTCGCGGTAGTACACCTGGCCGCTGCCCCGCAGGTCGATGTTGGCGTAGAAAGCGGCCATGGCCGGGTAGTCCAGCGGGAACGGCACGTTGAAGAACGTCGGCATCTCGTTGTTGAACGACACCAAACCATTGCTGTTCACCTGAAACGTAATTATTGCAATAAAAAATTGATTTCTTATATACATATATACAGGGTGTCGTGTAAAGTTCTACCGAGCTTTAAATGAGACATTCGGGATGCTCTAAAAATAATTTCAGTTTTGAAATCAGGAGAAAAAATCTTGTTGAATTGATATGTAACATGATTTGTTGATATCTGGCCACACATACGTCCACAGGGTGGCCACTGAGTTATTACTTTTGTTTTAAATAAGTTTTAAATAAAAAAAAAAAAATGAATACCATTTATTGCACCCTTAGAGCATCCTGAATGTCTCATTTGAAGCTCGGTAGAACTTTACATGACACCCTGTATACATATATAACAGAGCCTTCACAAATAAAGACAACTACTCACGAACAAAAATCTTAGTCTTAAGACCAGAAAAAACTTTGCCAAAAGCTACGTATGGAGCATTTTTGTTATATAGTTGTGAAACCTAACCTAACTTAACCTACCCTACCCTAACCTAACCTAACAGTATAAGATAAAAAAAAATAGAAGCAATTAATGTGGACCTGGAGAAGAGTACTTTGTATTAGTTGGACTGAAAGGAAGAGCAATTCTCCAAATAGTAAAGGAGAACAGATAGTATTGCTGTCCATCATTAGATCAAGAAGCGAACGACTTATGGGACACTTAATAAGACATAACCCCTTCATAGCCAACATAATGGAAGACTCAATGGACGCAAAGGAAGAGGAAGACATTCATAGGAGAGATGATTGAAATGGCTGGATGCCACTATGATGAAAAATATTGACTACTTAGCAAGTACTTTATTGGTGTGCTATACTATTGTGTAATTTGTACCCAGACGATTATAAAAATGCAATTTACCATTTAAACTAATACAAATATCGATTTGCTCTAGACGTTTGCGTTTAATCGGTTTAATAATTTCATTGATTTCAACGAATCAGCAACCGTTTCAGTTTATTTTACATGCTGCGAATAGCAAGGTCGATAGCTGGTGTTAGATATATTATATACATTGAATATGGCTAATTATTATGAATGTAATATGTTTTAGATAGGTATAATATACACACAGACAGGGACGATAAATAGAAACGATCTAAGTAATAACTGTATCGCTTGTGTTGCTGATTTATTATTTAAAATTAGTAATTGTTTATTGAATCAACCTATACCTATCAACATGAACCTATCTAATCTTATGAGAAATATTCGTAGAAGTCATTGGCATTCGTAATCATTTTCAAGTTTAATATGTTATCGCGTTAACTAACAATTATTGTAGCACACACACACACACATCAGAAAATCTTTACATTTTCCTGGAAGTTTTATTTTTCTTCTGGACACAGTTTGATCATCCAAGTTTTACATGTAGCATATTCAAACCAAAAAGATAGGGGAAAAGTTACACTTTGACCTTATTCAATGTTTAGGTTGCTATGCGTGATAGTCAATTACCTACTCTAATATATGGTAAGTCTTTTTTTGTAGTCAGACCCTAATCGTATCCGACCTAATATTTAAAGTACAATATTAAGCACATTATCGACAAAGAATTCATATAAAATATTATGTCTACAGATTGGCGCCGAAGCGTTTATTTCAATGTGACTTTATCGCTTTCAGTTAGGCATTTTTATTCGAATAACAAACTAATTTATTCGAATAATCTCTCTTTATTCTACCAAATCCAAGATAACAAAAAAAAAAATGATTTAGATAAAAAATTGTCTAAACAATGCCCAACTCTGTCGGTGACCTCCCTCACTTTTTTACTACTATATAATATATATTAGATAATAATATGTATTTTTACTTCTGTGTTTGTCTTACTTCTATGACTATTACTTATACTGTATGTATTTGCAGTGTGATTTAATTTTTATTTTTCTAGCCTCCTTCGTTTATCATTCCTAGATCAATCCCCCCCGGTCTAGATCCGCCCAATAGTGGTCTGGAATCCAAAAAAAGACGATCGAAACTAATATCTCCCAAAATTTTGATTAAAAAACAAAACAACATATGAAATTATTTGTTTTTGGCGTCGTTGAATTCAGATTTGAAATAATATTTTGAATCATCCCCTACTTAGGGGCGGCAAGGGGGGATTTATTTTTTGATTTAAAAAATATGTCAAGTTGCATGTCAAATTATATGTTTGCTGAGTCACCGAATTCAAATGTAAAATAAGATTTAAAATAAATACCGTATTTTAGAAGTTAAAGTGACTTAGGTGAGAGGGTTTTATGTTTTAAAAAAACTTCATGTTGCATATATATTCGTATGTTTTTTGGCGTCACTGAATATTGTATTAGTTTTATAATCAATTATTTAGGTACCAAAAAAAAATAGTAATAAATAAAATTTATATTTTTATTTGTTGGTTATATAAGCATTTATTGTACCCAACGCGGCTCAATTATAACAATTATTTAGTTTTAAACTGACACCATAACTTTAATTGCAGGTAGTATTTAATACTCTTTTTTTTTTTGTAGAGTTGAATTTCATAAAATAAACCATTGTTAATAATTGTTTTAATAATGTTTTTTTACCAGAAAAAAAGGGGGGTGAAAGGGGTTAACAATATATTATAATAAAACATTGGATAATATGCTATACTGAAGAAACGTACATAACTTTTCTTAGATATTTTTTTTTATACCTTAAAAATTTCATTGAATATATTGAGTATTTTTAATGGTAAAAATGACAGTGGTTGGCCTTTCAACGTCTTTAACCCAGCAGTCAGAGTAGCAAAATTAAAAAGTGTTATAAATTAAAACCGGGTATTTTTATGTTTTTATTTTAATTATTTATTTTTGTGTCTGGACCCACGATATCTCGTAAACCGCTGAACCGATTTCTTTGTGTAGCAACTCTATAGATCAGAAATCATACCTGGAAGGTACTTCAACAGGCCAAAAATTTTAAAAAAGTCACCCCTTCCCCATCAAAATCGAGAAAAACACCCAAAAAATTGTCCAAATTTTTCAACTTAAAATAACGATCCTCTATAACTTTTTTAAAAATAGTCGAAAATGTTCCAAATGTATACAAATTGTTCTTCAAACATAGCACTATCGATAAACATTAACATATCAAAAAAATATCATAAACCCTTTCCCTTAGAAGGGATAGAATTTCATTCTTTATTTCACTTTTTCAAGCAAAGTTTTAGAGATTTAGATCTGAAAATTAGACCGAAGGTACAATTTTTTTCAAAAATCTGTAATCAAATTTTTTTTTTTATTAAGGAAAACCCCCAAAAATAGTGTGTAAATTTACACTTTGGCCGTAGTCAGTTTCTAGGATGCTATGGGCGAGTGAATCAACAGTGAACAGGTAATGAAAATATTTTCATTATATTGTTAATTACGACATATGGGTAACTATGACAGTACATTTTTATAGACAGACGATCAACCCTTATCGTATCCACCCTGCGCACAAGACTGAGTATTAAATTTTAAGTACATTATTGCTGGTCCCACGATATCTTCTAAACCGCTATAACTGGTTTACTATCCACAGATTCGCATCGAAGCGTTTGTTTAAAAGTGATTTTATCACTTTCAGTTATAGTAAAACCTCTAGACCTGTGACCTCTCCGACCCCACTGTACTGGGTTTTTTTAATTTCCTGTGGGCTACGTGTGAGTTCATTGGTTGTATTAATTATAAAAACTGTCTAGACCGTGCACAGTTAAAGTAGCAGTAACTATATAGTTGTTCGAATTTTTAACCTAATTTTAATGAAATCAAGAAGACAATTAATTTTAATACGCATATAATAGACAGACGTATTCTCTATAAGATTTATGAAGAACAAGAAACCATTATTAATATTAATTCAACAACAGCGACTGCCAGAATCCAAGAAGGAGACAAGGGTGCCCACTTTCACCTGCATTATTCAATGTATTTATTGAAAAAACAATAAACGTCATAAAGCTTTGGTTAGATCAAAATGGAATTGGAGTGGAAATAGGAGGGGTACTAATAACAATGCTTCGGTTTGCTGTTGATATAGTCGTTCTTGCAACATTCGAAGAAGACTTGCAAGCAGCGTTAAATATAATAAATACCACGTTCAAAGAATATAGTCTGAAAATAAACGCAGCCAAGACTTTGGTCCTAGTATGCTACAAGAAAAACATACCATCTATAAATATAACATTAGAAAACAAAGAAATTATCCAAGTAGACTATTTCAAATGCATTCCTTAAAAAGAAAAAAAAATGCTAACATCAAAAAATATGAACACAGTAACGAAGAAACGGCTCATAAAAACCTACGTCCGGAGTGTGGCATTATATGGAAGTGAGACCTGGACAATTAATAAAAAAGAGAAAGATATATGTTAGAAGCTCTGGAGATGTGGTGTCGGAGAAGGATGCAGAGAATAAGCTGGACTGGTAGAAGATCAAACGAACACATCTCGAGGACAATAGACGAAAAACGAACATTGCGATAGACATTATAAAGAGAAGGAGATGGCAGATGATAGGACACACGTCGAGGCATGGGGATTGAATCGCATAGTTTACTAATTGAAGGAACAAGATCAAGAGGCAGACCTAGGCAGACGAGATACAACATTAGCCAAGTAATGCAGGATGCAGGGCATTTGTTGTGAACAATTTGTTAAAAACCAATCTTTGGATTGATAAACAAAAAAAAAAAAATAATTAAATGGAATAAAAATTCTATTCCTTTTTCGATTATTGTTACTATAATTGGTATTTTTTTTTTTCTACAGGCCCGGCGGTACTCACGAAAACGGTGTCGTACGTGTCGTTGTAGAATTTGAAGGGCACGCCCAGCGCTATGCCCGGACTGGCCACCTCGTAGGCGACGCGCAGCTGCGAGTCGCCGCTTGTCGGTCCATACGGGTAAAGCGCTTGCCAAGTGCGACTCACCCCGAAGGTGAGCAAAATCAACAGGGAAGAAAACCGTACTCGGTCGCCGAAGAAACGGTCCATCGTCGTCGTCGCTGTCTCGTCAAACACCACACCGTGACTGCTGGAAAGCAGCAGTGAAATAACGTCTTACAAACAAAATGAAGAAAAGAAAATGGTTATCTGCCGCCTTTAGTTTTTTATATCCAAGACAGACCGCAACTCGAGCAGTTCAATAGTCCAAAAACCGCACGGTCGATAATGTTTCACTCGACTTGGGGAGAGGTGGTAGAGAGGGGGAAGAGTTCACTCACACGCTATTGAAAAAAAAAACGACGGCGGCTGTGGTGTTGTTAAAATAGTTTTTTTATTGAACAAAATGTTAAACATAAAGAAAACACATTTATATATATATGTATATACAAACGAGCCGTGTGTCAAAGGTCGGCGCAGCGATAAGGCGATTACACACACAAAAAAAAGATTGCCTCGCCTCCTCTTCTATCTAGCCCATTGATTCTTTAACGGTCTGTAAGAGAAGTTTCACTTCCGGCGAATCGTCGGCGATGAAGTTTGTCGAAAACTCGTTGTAAAGTCCCAAGAACGAATCCAGTTCTTCGGCCGCTTTTAAACCTTGAAATGAAAAAAACGATAAGAAACCGCCGATTAATGACGTGCCTTACGCTATTTAAAAACAGTAGGCATAGTAAAGAAATGTACAAAAAAATTTTTTTTTAAAAAAATTCACTTCTCATAATTTCAAATTAAAAAAAGGTAAACTCTCTGCCATATTTCAATAATGCAACCTATACCTATACTTATTTATTTTTAGGGAATTAATTCCATTTACAATATATATACAGCGTGTTTTTTTTTTATCACGGGCCACTCAATAATATCTCCTCATAGGGTTTAATAAGACATTTTTTTCATATTGTTAACCAAGTTGGGAGGGGGGTAAAAAAAAAATTGAGATCACAACAAAAACAACAAAATTAAATTTCTCAACCTAACCCTATCAGATATTGAGTGGCCCATGATAGAAAATTCACTCTGTATATAGTTGAACTTTACAATTTGATTTGTATTTTTAAGTGTTAAATATGATTGTTTTTTTGTTTTTTATAAATAACTATTCCTCACTTGAAAATGATAAAAATCGTTTCCGGTAATGAATAAAATACAAATCAAATTTTAAAGTTCAATTTTTATACTTTGGCACTTTTTTAAAGCAAAAAAATTATTATTAAAATTTGAACAACTCCGTTTTTTTAAATTTTGAAGATGCTTTATTTGTTATCTTATTGATATTATATTGTGTTCCTTGAAATTCAATTTCTATCAAAAAAAAAAAAGACACCTAAATCATTAACTAAATCAACATCAACGCTGGATCTTAGAGTTTTATAATAATTGAGCGTTTAATTAGTTAAATAAGTGCTATGCCGTTTTTAATATAGAAGAAAATATAATAGTGGAAAGATATTATGGTCTTTCTGTGGTGGTACTCCAGAAGAAACGGATATGGGATTAGAGAAAAAATTGCTACCTATATTTTATAAAGAATTTACACCATAAACTTTTAACTTCATTCACATTAATAATTTATGATCAATTCGTCAGAAAGCTTTTTTTTAAATCTGTGCATAGATCTATTTGTACATATTTTATAAGATTCAGAGATAGTTAGTTTGAAAATAGGTAGCTAAATTTGTAATAATAGTTGAACGTCCAGTTAGAATATGTGAACGACCGTTTTGTTTAGAAAAATGCGATTTTCTGATATGTTTGCAACTACCAATTTAAACTAACACTTTACTCATTCGAATCAACAATTGTTTATAATTTTAGTTTTAAATAAAGTTTTTGCAAAAGTTTGCCTAAAAACGGATGCATTTAAAAACAGGCTGGTGTCCAAATTCATAAATCAAATATACAATATAAAAATATACCTATATATTAGACTGTGAAATTTGTCGATAGTATCCTATTCAAATGAGGAAACCTCGTGGATTTTCGTTTTGCATTTGATTAACATGGATAAGTTGTTTCCCATCAAGTTACAGCCTAATTAGCCCATTGAAACTGATAACTTGAAAACTTACTAAAAAAAATTATCCTATCAAAGAAACGTTTCCGAGTGTCATATTTTAGCTTTAAGGATTTTTTTTTTTTAATTGAAAAAAATTGTATTAGTTTTCAAATTGGATAAAATTAATTCTATACTTAAAAATAAAACTAATATAGATATAAACCAAAAACCTACGACAGACAATGTATAATATTAGTTTTTAAGTCAACAACAAACAAATGAAAACAATTTAAGGTACAGCTAGTCTTACAACTTAATAATGTTCACTTAAAGAGTATTTGGGTGTAAGTTTACTCGCATAAGTTTTTATTAAAATACATTTTTCCACGAGCTACTGCGATTTTTTTTTTTTTTTTAAAAGGACTTGAAGCATTTAGAGAAGAGTATAACTTTGCCCAATACCTATATGCCCTTCTCAAAGCCAAGCATCTGGTTATTACTTACTTTTTAAGTTTGTCATCACCATAATGTAAACTTCCAATGACAGTTTTCTTAGACTAATATTTTTTGGAATACCTGTGAAAATGAATACATGTACATACTATTATATATTATTTGATTTGTTGAAAAAATAATTATTACAATAATTAATGAATATTTACCGAAAGCAAAATGTAACGTTCGTCTAACGTGACTGAGAATGTATTTCAGTTGTTGTTTGTGACTTGCGTGCAGCTGAACGAAAGCCAACCGTTCGACAACTTTCAACAGCGTTCCCATGATGGCCAGCTGCAATGGACGTGTATTGTTTTTCAAGTGATCCGCACACTGAACGACAACAGTTTCTCCAAACTCGACTGGAAAAAAAAAGAGAAATCACACCGTAAGTTTTACTTTGTTAACGTAAAGTGATGACGCGTCAAGCAAGTCGTTAGGCATCGAACGCATTAAAAGTATCGCATAAAACTTTATCGGTTTACCTTGTGTTGCCAACGTGTAGGGCCATGCTTTTCCTACTAATAAAAACAATTCTTCTTTCAGTTTTAAGTTTTGTGATTTATCTTCAATATCGGAATCATCTGCACTCTGTCAAACAAATATATTTTATAAATTAATAATAATATATATATATATTAAAAATTTTAATGTTTTATATTATTATTAAAAAACTATATAATGTACATTTTGAATGACGTGCATGACCAACTGATACGTTTGAGCAAAACGGTCAATCTTCAGTTTTTCCAACAGTTCTCCGAGAGTTTTCAACGCGACCATTCTGTAACTGATTTTTTCTTTTTTGCATTCGTTGAAAACCAACTCCACAATTTCTTCGCTTTTATGAGTTTCCGCCAAGTTACTGATAGAAAAAAAAACACAGCTATAAAATTTACAATTGTAATTTTGCAAGTTATTCTAAGCCAATATTATAAACAAAATGGATCAATCTTTGACGATAAAAAATTCTGTAAAATAATTTTAAAAAAAATAACACACCTTGAACTCAAATTCAGTTGCAACAAAGCTTCGAGCAAATATTCTTTACCGTCCCAAGTGCGACCTTGCAATCCGGTTTTAATGGTCTCTATAAACTTGTTGCGATGCTCTTCGCTTAAACTGCGACCCAGTTTATCGGCGGCATCGCCAATAGACCTCGCAGCCTAATAGTAAATCAAACACACACCGTTAACAACAAATTGGTAATAATAAATATACAAAAAAAATGGTTATAAAACTACAGACTTGTGATTTCATTGCCCAAGACGATGATTTAATGGCATCGCCTAAAAACTCGTATAACGAATCCAAGTGGCGAGACAAAACGCTTTCGGTGTTGTGCACGTTGTCTTCCCAAAGTTCCTTCCAAATTTCATTTGAACTTTTGTCGACGCTCGTCGCCTCGGCTTGAGTACAAAACATTCCACATCAGATTAGTCATCATTTGTTCAATTACAAATTTAAATTCCAATAAATTACTTTCAACTTGTTTGGTATGCATGGCGAAAAATATCAACGGTATAATATTCGGCAAGTACAAATCCGGCTTCTCACATTGACTTATTCCTTTCAATGCACATCCCACAGTATATCGTATACTTTCATCTGTATACAAATATTGGTTTTTTTTTTTTAAATTATATTAATTAGACAATTTAAGTCTACTAAGATCTACCTTCGTTAGACATGTACACATCTTTCAAAGATTGGACGAGTTTATTGACAGAACTTTCTTTGGCCACTGTAGTGATCACGGCTATGGTGGACGCATAACTTTTACGTATCGTAGCGTTACGATCGGTGATGCCTTTCATTAAAGATTTTAGGATTCTGTCTGAAAAATGAAAATCACAAATTCTCAGGTAAGGACAATTATTAAACACGGTTATTCAAATAATAATTATTATTGAAATATACCCAAAAGCTTGTTGTTCAGCTGATGTTGTTTCTGTGTGATTAGCAAGTTGATAAAATGAGACGTAGCCACTTTGGTGGGAAGCCCAATGTTTGCGGTCAAAAGCTCTTGAAGAAGCGGTACTAATTCTTGAAATACATTGTCGTCGATGTACAATAAGCTCTGGAAATGATAAATTGTCATCATATAGATTGAAAATCAATTTTTTTTACAATCGATAATAATATTGTGGGTACCTTTGATAAAACGTCGCTTGAACTCAGTGTTCTAGCAGACGCGGCACGGTGCGAATCGATCAGTTCTTGTGTGTCGGGATTGGCACCCGACATAACGCTCAACATGCTCATGGCTGCCGTTTCTACTTTGTCGGCACCTCTCAAAAGCGCAATTATTAACTTGGCCAGGTCGTCTTTCAATTTGTCGCCACAATTGACAATCAACTGCGATATCATATCCATGCTGAAATTTTAAATATACTTATCGTAAAGGAAATGACATTTCAACGCGGCAAAGCAGTACTCGCTATCAGTGTTGGGCAAAATTCTAATCGGATAATTAATATTAAATCAATTTTATTTTTGCAAATAAAACCGTTTGTAACTTAATAAATAAAAAATATATATATTAAATATTTTTAAATATATAAAATTTGAAGTGAGTATTTAAAATAGCTTCTTTATGTTACTGTTCGTTAAATAATAGTCGTCATTTAAATAATCGAATAATAAATAATTAAATAAAATACCATTTATATTTTATTGTACAATTATATGAATAATGCCCAACTCTGCTAGCTATTATTGTTTTTAAATCACTTACCTCACAGCCCTTATACTCGATTCTGTATGGTATAAACCCTTTTCTAAAATGATCGGCAAAAGTAGTCGTAAAAGCTGCGTATTGGTTGTGCATTCGTTCACACACAACTAGTTGAAACAAAATAGTAAATATAATAATAATTGTTAATGTTTTATAGCTATTATCTTTTTTTTTTTTACCTTAGACAGTGTTTTTGCCGTAGAAGTAGCAGCCTTTCTGGTGCCTTCGTGAATATCATCCATTACCCTGATCAACTCTTTCCAAGCTTCTATCGTTAAATCCAAACAGTTCTAGGAAAAAGAAAAATATGAAAAACCAATGAAATGTGTCACGGAACACCTCATCGATGTTATATACATCATTTTTAACAAAAAAAAATAATTACCCCAAATATTTTGTCGCCGCTGTATTGCAAAAACGACGGTATAGCCTGGCAAACCGAAATACGTACTTTCCAATTTGGACACGTTAAATTTTTCACCAGATCTGTGTAAATCTCTTTGTAGTATTTATCAACCTGAACGAAAGAAAAAATAATTGTATTTTTACGTCCATTAATTACACGCTACAAACAAAATAGAAGATTACGTACAATGGCACGAGTGTCCAACACTAAATAGCTCCATATTGCGCTCATAGAAGTCTGTACGATTGGCGTCGGGTCGTACTGATAGCGGTACAGTCTCGGTATAATAAACGGTAACTGGTCGTTGAGTTGTTCGTCGATTTCCAGTTTTGATTTTGATTCCTAAGCGAAAAAAACTTATAATATATACATTGGAAATATATCTACATTACACTACCTTTTTTTTGTTGTAGTTAGCCAATTGTATAAACTTATACAACAATTTAGGTCTGTTCAGATCGGTGACCAGCGAACACAGCTCTTTGTATGTCGATAAAATTCCCCTGTCGAAAATAGCATTTGAAGAAACGCATTAATTTCACACCCACATAACAATAGATTGACAGCAAACCAAAAATGTTTATCAAACTCACCCAGAGCCGTCTTTGCCTTTTTTGCCGTCAACCATGTACTCGGATAATTGTTTTACGAGCAATTTCAAAATTTGATCTTTACGATCTTCACTTTCGTGTTCGTATATTTGTATTAAAGCTTTGGACGCCAAGTCTTGTATGTAACCTAGGACATTACCGTTAAGTAACATTAAATTGTACTGTAAAATAGTAAAATTTTAATAATAGTAATAATACTGACTATTTTTTTCGGCGAGAAGAGCGACATACGCTGTTTGGATGCGAGCTAGTTTTTTATTAACGGACGGCAGTGTATGGCATTCGTTCAGAACGCTAAATATCCAAACACAACACGCCTAAAACGTTTGTTTTATTTTATATTATTACAGTTAATTGCATGCAATCGGTTGAACGGTTTCGCTGGAAGGCAAACAACTAAGAGTACGATGATTAGTTACTTGTCTTGAATTCGGATGTTCTTCGGATTCGGCTTTTTCCAGTATACTGTTTAAGAAAAAATCCGACAATTTATCGCATTCCTCTACGGCGCTGTTAATCGGCACGGTACTCTGATATTCTCGTTCAGTACAGGTCCAAAAGTTTCGAGACATTTTCGAACAAGGACCGAGTATGGCGCAAGATATACTATCACCGATGGACAAATGAATTTCAATATCTTTTGTCTAAAATTAAAAAAAAATACAATAAAAATAACAAATTTTAAAATAAATTAACTATTCGTATTACGTGTTTTGTATTTTCTAAATATTCTTTTACAACGATTTTACTACGGTCTGAATTTTCTCCGACGCAAATCAATCCGGTACATTTGATCGCCTTGTTTCTGACCTTAAAATTCAAATTCAATTTAACAATTTTGTACAATCACAAATGTTACACAAAAATGTAATACTTTTGATAGAACAGTCGAATTAAACGAAATTTTCAACAGTTTTTTAACCAACGTCGTCTTGTTGGAGTCGTCTAACGGAATGGGTGTAAGTCTCGCTATTAGGCCAATTACGTCGCAAGCAGCACCGACGAGCAAAGGACTTTGATCGTCAAGCATTGACACTGAAAACAATTTATTTCATGAATATTAAAATGACACAGGGAGGCAAACGTTCATAGACTTTTGTAATAAATATAATATACGTAATATTGACCGCAAACTTACTTATTGCTGCAAATACGTCTTGACTAATCAACGATGGTGTGTTTTTATTGTTAAAGAATATGAACTCCTGGAGTGATGATAACGCAAACAAAGATGCGTGGATCTCCAAAGATTTATTACTCCTGCTTTTATCCACAACGACCGATAGTAATTCGTCTACACGCTTGCTCGCTATTGTTTCGTCCAAAGCCGATAATATAATACCGTACAATATTCCACTCAGTTGACGCATGTCTTCGTTGCTCGACACGAATAATTTCTATGTAAACATAATATATAAATACAAGCAACTTTTCTTTGCCAACTCGACGGTGTCCAATTACCTGAATTGTGTTTAAGTCTTTGATGCATCGATTGGCTAACGGATTTGGCAAAGCGGCCACACACACCAACAGGTTATTCATCGGTATAACGCTCGGTTTGACTTGTATCAGTTGCAGCATTAGTTTGAAATAATTATCGATAACTCGAGCTTCAGACTGATAAACGGTTAATAAATATTTGCAAATATCGGGAGTGTGTTTTGAAGGATGGTGTAACGTGTTATAAGTGACCGGTAGACCGGCGCTAAAAGTAAGGCAGTGGCTAAGATATTCGGCAACCTAAAAAAATGAAACATTCATTCGATAAGAGTTTGTCGGAAAATAAGTTTGAAAACACAACACATATGTTTTGAACATAAAAAAAATTGGAAACTCACTTCCGTGAGAATAGCCGAGTCGAATTTCTCATTACTGTTCACTACAGTCATTACCATATCCGGAAATCTAGGTAAAACCAAAGCGTCTTCGTTGAGGCCGACTAGATTACCCGCTTCGTCAACATTGTACAAAATCTTTTTCAAATCTGAATCGCTAAAATAGAATTGCAAATAAACAAGTGTTAAAAAGCCATTTAGAAATTAGTTGGGAAAAGTTCCAAGTATGTTAACTCGGTAAAAGTGTATTTTTTATACAAGACAAGGGTTCAACTTTTAGGCAAACATTATTATTTAAAGGTATAAATAATTTGTACTTGGTTAGAGCAAAAAGTATAAATAATGGCTAGCCCATTCTAACCATTGATAGTAATAGATAATTATTAAGCTGTAGAAAAACATTTATCGCAAATTGACAAACCCGGTCGAAGCTGTGTGCGACTGAATCAGTAACAATCTCGATCGAGCATCATCGGCGGGAAACAAGTTTGATAAATAATGTGTGGTGACTTGTTTCAAAAGACCGTCAGACATTTTACAGTAGTACGCAATCATATCCAATATGCTCGGCAGTATACTGCAGTCTTTGTAAGCGCTACACATCGATATCAGACACGATCTAATCGATCCTTTTAGGTCGTTAGAAGTTTCCTAAAAAAAAAGAAAAAAGGGAGGGGGGGGGTTTAATAATTAACAAATAAATATAATACAATACAGATACTGTTGTAACACACCCACACAGGCTGTGAATTCATACTATGATTACCCGCATGGTCGGAATCGATTAAATTTTTACCTTTACTAGTGCTTCGAAAAACGACTGAAGTTGACCTAAATCGTCTTTGACCGAGTTGGGCACTTTGGATATTAGCATTCCGATTAAAGTATAAATCATTTGCTTTGCGTTTAAATCCAAATCGGTCGATTCCAACAACTTTAGTAATCCCGATTTCAAAAGTATCGGCGTGGCCTGAAGTAAGGTTTTTGCCGATTTCCTAAAAAAAATCAAGGTTGTTAATTTTCAAAAAAAAAAAAAAAAATACTACTATTAAATTTTACTTACTGGCGAATAATTACTTGAGCGTATTGCAGAGCCAGACTTTTTAGTCTTTGGTTGGTATTTTTACCATTCCAACAATCAAATATTATCTAAAAGGTAAAAAGTATTTAAATTTAAATCTAACAATTTGCAGAAATAATTTTAATCAAAAATTTATTAGTCGGACGATATTTTGTATCTAAATAATACAAATCGATACAACTAGCAAAGTAAAGCGCTAAAGAAGTCTGTAGGGTGTAATGTTTAAGAAAAAATGTATTTTGACAGTTAAATGAATTGAAATTCAATTAAATATACAATATATTGTATTTTTACGTACCTGCATGCACTGTGGCCATATCACGGAGTCTTCGCCTTTGCTCAAACACAGACAAGGTAATATTTTAAGCCTAATACGCACACAGGCGGGTTCTTTTTGTTTCGGAATTTCTTGTTTGTTTGGGCTAGTTCCAATGAATAAAGTGTACAACGGCATCATAGTGGACGGTTTAGACCAATCGATTTCGCTACAAACAAATTTTCGATAAGAATACTTTACGCTCAATATTTGTACACCTAATATGTAAGTAGTTATTTACCAAGTAATTTTTCTCAATTCGTTTTCACCAGAATTGGCGACCATGTAGCGCGTGTCGGCAGCGCCGACTATCGAATGAACCAACACTTGTTGCGATTCAAATATACTAGCCGATATCAATCCCAAAATTCCTAGTTTCACCTAGAGTCGTCGGAGAAACATTATTATATTTAATAATTTATTACATTTGAAACAAGTTATTATATCACGCACTTGTTCGTGATAATCTGCGTCCGTAAACACCAAAGGTATATTAAGCTTCAAACGTTTTAGAGAATGAGTATTGAATCCGGCCAACGCGACTTCATCGGACCCGCTCCATTTATAAGGCAACAGTAATACGTCCAACATTAAATCTAAGATTATTGTTATCAACTGTGGATAGTTCTGAACGACTGATACGCCTTTACTCGCTGTTTGCACATTAGATTTATTTAAAGCTCCGATTATAAGAAGAAAAATGCTAAAAAAAAATGATATCATAAATTATACAATAAAACAAATTTTATAAAGAAAATCAGTATTCCTTTTTACCTTTCTTGATGTGCAATACTTTTTTTAGCAACAGAACTAATTAAAATTGGAATCAATTCGATCTGCTTGTTACTGTCAATGCGGCCAAAACTGATCTTCACAAAGACCACAGTAAAATTCTACGAGCGAATAATTTACAAAACCATTAAAATCTTAATCAGACATACATTTTTAAAAAAAAAAACATTAATTAGTTATGTAAATTTTACCAAAACAAAGCTGTTAGTAGTGGAATTCAATAGAGTAACTAATTGGTCAACTGGTAGAGCAATACTTTGGCTGCGTTTTATAACTCTTGTGATATGCGTCAATAACTCGACCACCTGGGAAAAATTTACCCAATTAGACAATTTTCTTTTTATATTTCTATTAAAACAACAAAAATAATGGGAACAATTTTTTCTACCGGGCATTCTTTTAATGTGATTTTTTTTATATCTCATGTTCTTTTATGTAACATTAATACTTGAAGTTTTAATAGTTATAACTTTTGAGCTAGAGAAGTCCACGGATTTCTTACTTCAGATTAGTAATCAGTTTAGAAAACAAAAAAAAGTCAACAAAAAAAAGTGCCTGATAAAGTAAACTTTGGTACTAAATATTGTCATTGTTCATTCGAAAATCGCATATTGAAAGAAATTATTCAAATTCCATAAATATTGGTTATAATGTATGTTTTATACTTTGTTTTTGACAGCTTCATGAGGCGAAGCCAGCTTTTGTAGTACGGGAACCAAAAAATTATTGATACAGGACGATAACTGGTCGTCAGTGTCAGCCGAACCAATCCGATAGAATACTCTTTCCAAAAGAACTAAAAATAAATCAATTTTTAAAAATATTTACAAACTCCAATATTCAGTATTTACTTACTAAGCTCATCGTTCATAACTGGTTCAGTCATAATGTGGCGGCTATAGTTCCAATAAAATGTTAAACTTATTAATGTTTTAGTCAAATTCAATATATTCAATCTAGTGACTCATCTAAATATTAAAAAAAAAAAAATATAATTACGATTCATTGAGTTATATTATGAATCACAATAACAATTTCAGAATTTATAGAATAAATTGAAATATATTATCAATATTCAAAATTCAAATAATACATTATCATTGTTTACAAACTGGAAGTTAGCGTTGATAAGATAAGATATCTTATCTTAGTATACTGAAGTTAGTAACGATTACATCAAGGTGATAACACAACAATTTAAAAAAACCGACTTAATAAAATAAACACAAAAGTAATATAAATGAACCATAAGGCAAAAAATAAAATATGTGTTTTATACAACAATTAAGTCGGTTAAAAAATAAGTTCTCGACGCGATGAATATCGTGATATGTTCAATGGATGCTCTACATCCATAGCTTAGGCCATGTTATTTTCTGTGCTTGGAAGTTAGAATGTTAGGTATGTTTGACTATACACCGTAATTCAATAAAATATATGCTTATGGTTCTTTAATTTAACGTTTCAAATTTCAATTGTATTGCTTGAAAAAGCCATTGGTCGACAACATCGTTAGTGTTGACCAAAACAATATGATCGTTGCTTTATGAACTCGATAAACAACAGGGAAAATTTTTATTGAGCAAGTTGATATTTAGCAATGCCTCCAATGTGATTTTGATTACTCAAATAATATGTATTTTTGAAAAACAGTCATGATGGGTAAGGTGGGGACTGTAAACTACTGACTCTTCGACGTATTTTATGCCAAATAGCCACAGAGTAAATTGTACACAAGACACTGTCGCTTTACCTGCTACTTGTCTTCTCTTATAGGCTATTGTCCATAGAAGAAAAGAATAATATAATAAAAAAAAATGTTCAAGTCATAATTCCTTTAATATATAACATAACGTACAATTTTACAAGAACAAAAATATTTTTAACATTATAATGTTACTACGGATTCTGGGTCAATCGACCCGACAGAATCAATATTTGCCAAAAATGTTTGGTTGTCTAAATTTCCATCCAAAATATTTCTTAAAGCAAACAAACTCCATTCTCGCATTACTAAAAAAAAATAGTACAAATAAAAATACATGTCATGTAGTTTGTTTTTACAGTTATATTTTGGGATTTATGAATAATGTCAAATATATATTATATTGTCTATAATTCCACAGCTGTTTAAGAAAAAGAGTAGTTTTAATATTTTTTTATAGTCTAATAACAATATTAATATGTTTATTTACCTACGTGAAAAGCGCCGTGTGTCTTATTCTGCGGTAAAGCAAACTCAAACAGAAATTTTGATTTAGAGTAATTTTAAACGGAATAAACATTAATATTGTTAGCAAACTAGTAAAATATTAAAATTATTCTTTTTTTTAATAAACTGTGACGTGTAGAGCTCTGACATAACACTTATGTTTTAAAAGCAACACAAGACAAAAAATCCTAATTTTTAATTATCATCGTGGACTTTTAATACGGACTTGGGTATGTTTTAGGAGACGACATAATTTACAAAACTTTAGTTAACATTACTAACTCTAACGTTGGCATTTATATGTAAAAAATATATAAAAAAACGGGCGAAATGATTTGGGGTAAAACCAGAGAACCTCGACAATATCTCTAACCTATCTCTACGGTCTACCACATCATCAGATACTTAATAAAACAAGTCTTGCCGGAGACGATGGAAAAGACAAATGTAGTCTTTGGGAGGTAGGTAAAATTTTAATTGTAAATAAAAAAACAAAACTGGAAAATTGTATATGTATAAAAAAATCTTAGTTTTAACGGGTATAAGTTTTAAAGAAAATGAGAATTAGACCTTAAAAAATGATGAAACTAAGCACTAAATCTAGGCCAAATCCTCAAACATTGTTAATACAGCGAAAATTATAATCATTTCTTTTTTTTTAACGACGCCCAAAATACGATATTCGTTGCACTCTCTCATAATATACGTCTGACCGTTACGAGGAAGAATACTTGTTGTAGTTTGTGTTTAATTATATTGTTGTTATTTCACTATCAATTAATGTGTTTGTCTTTTATTTTTAAAGTGTTACCTTTTGAATCGTTAATAAACATATATTTTAAAAGGTTTTATATTTGATTAAGTCGCCAAGTTTGCTTCTAATAAGTTTTCGATGTGGGAAATAGTCACTACACATCTCAAAGTTACGTGCAAAAAAATGGTCACCAACTCGTCAGCTAAAGTTATAGCTAAAATCTAACCTAGCTTAGCTCTTGGTTAGGAGTGCACAACATATAATATGCGATACGTCGATATCAAGATAGGTATAGCTGTTAAAAACTAATAATTTCAATAACTTACACGGATTTTTCGCGTCAAATGAACAACATTCCAATAGTATAGGTATAATGTTATGGGTACGCATCTACGGAACAAAATCAAACAATACATTATTGCTGAAACTTTAAAAATAATTATGGGGGGGGGGCACATGTACCTAGTGTACATGTGCACCCCCCCCTGGCTATGGCACATACTAAACTTACTAAATTCTGATGTTCTTCGTGATTGTAACAGATGTTGGCAATCAGTTGTATGACGTCGGATTTAAACCAAAATCTACTGTGATTCGTTATTTCAGAATTTGTAAACAACGCCGATAAATTTTTAGCTTGACTAAATTCGTCTTTATTTCCAGAGCTACTTTTACTGCTCTCGTGTATGTATTTGAGTACTTCTAAAACGCAAAATAGTTTGCTTGAGCTGATTCAAATTAATATATTATACTATAATATAGTTTTACCGATTAGTTTTTTTAAAAATGCTGTGTGTGTTTGGATGCTGCTTTTAAATTTGTCCATAGATGAAGCTTTTGCTAGAACTTTTACCACCGGACTAGTAATTTGGTCGATTGCACATTCCAAAAATAACTCGTCTTTTATCGTATTTACAAGCTCTAGAGGCACATCGTCATTGTAATGCTCGAGCCAATAAGACAAAACGTCCAACAGATTTTTCTTATCCGAGCATGAAAGATTATTATAAACCGATAAAAATTCATCGTGATTGAAGAACAACGAATCTAGAAAAATTTTGCTGAAATCAAAAAAATTATTTTACAATCAAAATAATTTCATCGATATGGTTTTATCCAAGCAACATCTCATTTAAACGCAAGTGAACTACGCCCGTCTATCGAATACTAGCGTGTTTACAATATGTGGAATCGTTACGAGTGTAAAATAGCGAGTATAACCTTACCAATATTCTAGTTCTTTTTGTTGCCAACAGTTTAAAATTTTCTTAATAATTTCCACATCTCCTAGTATTATTGATCTTAAATCGTTATTAGGCAGACTTAAATTATAGAGTAACATAATAGTGTTGTTTAGTAGTTTTGTATCGTACGATGATAACAAGTGGTTCCTGAAAACATCATAAAATAAAATATATATTAAATAAAGTCTTCACTGGTGTATATGTTTGAAATATATTATCACCAATAACTACAGCTAAGGTTAAACAGTGACAACGCACCTTAATGTACTATGAAAGTCTTTAAAAATCATTTGTTGTGCTGGCTTGTAATTGATAGAAAAATTGGCCAAAAATTGTAATAGTATGCTGAGACTCAATAAATCATCGTGGAAATGGACATCGAAATACCACAAACAAATTTCCACCAGTCCAGAATCCAACAGCAGTTGTTTGGAGTTATTATTTAAACGAGGCGAATTGTTTCGCAGCCATCGAAATATATCGGTGATGCCATTATTGCCATCAGTGTCGGTTTTCTCAATGCATTTTTTTGATTTTCTAACTTCCATCAACTTTGATACGAAGCAAGTAAACTGGTCGTGTACTTGATCTTCCATCTTTGATACTGATTTATTGTTCAACAGATGGTAAATAAAATAAGTCGCTTGAAGTATATAAATTTACTTCATATTCGAAAACATTCTCTATAGTCTATTTTATATTAATTAATACGTTTAGTTTAATTGACCTAAGTCACTACAGCATTTTAATTTTTAACATAATACTTATCATTAATATTATAATTTTTTGTTATCTGCACGTTTACGACTAACAAGTGTCATTGATAAGAATGGTTACCACTACGGTTATAGTAGTACATAACCGTGGTTACCACTTACCCCAATGGTTCTTTATTTTATTTTATTTATTAGAAAAAATGTATTATTAGCTCAATTTATCCAATGAGTATTATTTTTATAAACACACAGAAAACAGGTATCTATTAAAAAAAAATGTAATTTCTTTATCAATTGTTATCACTTATACGCAATCTATTTTTGTGTAAGATTATATAATTTTTCTACTTCGAACAGAACTTACCTGAAAATACTCAAGATTTAAATTTAAAAGAAAAACAAAGTTTGCATTCATTGCCTTCATAGCATTTACAAGGCGTCGATCGAGGGCCGACATACAATTTCAAAAGTATTTCTAAATAATTAATAACTAATAATTTCTATGTGAAAAATTTGCAATTTTTTAAGCAAATGTTGACAAATCTAAATCCGTTTTCATAAAATATATTGTTGGATTACTCGTTTTATTATGGTTATAAAATTAGAATGTGTTGTTTTTGGCCAAAATGACGAGGCCAATGAAATATAAATAGTTCTCACCTAATTACTCAAAAGCAAAGATATTAAAAAGTTAAAATTAAGTACTTGGTCAGATACCGATTTATTAGTTTTTAATTATTCAATATCATAATGTAAATTTCAGCCGACTGCCCACTGTGCTAAGATGTAGGCTTAAAAATCTAGGTAGCTACATAAATAAATCTTGATTCTAAAATAAAATACAAAATATAAACCTTTCATACTTTGTTTTTATTTTCTAAAAAAAAAAAAAAAACCATTTCAAAGAAATAGAGAATCTTTTCAAAACAATATTGCTCTTTAAATAATTTAATAGCAATAGGAATAACAGCTATTACATAAAAAATGTATATATTAATAATTAAAAAAAACATTTAGTGCAAACAAGGTGTTTCTCTGCGAGACATCACTTACAATTTAAATAATAATGTTAATAAGAACAGGGACAATCTGTACAACAACTTGCCTGATATAAAGATAAAAAATACAAATAGTCAAAAAGAATGTCATTGTATAAAAATGGTCAAAAGTAATAGAATGATGTTCAAGTTAAGCCTTATCTAGTTCAACGATATACTTAATGTAGTAATTACATTGAGAATTTACTTCACACGATATCTTACTTAAAATCAGTACACGAATTGAGCGGGTTGAATAGTATCCGATTTTTCTTAGTAATCTTTTAGTTGAACTATAGAAATATGGGTGCTTATTAGTGCAATTTATGTTCTCATAACGCTTTGTGTATCTTCTATAATCGCAATTGTGTATAAGTGCTGAATTCAAATCGTCTTTATGTACTGCGTGAAAAACATCTTCCTGGAAAAAAATTTTCCAATTTATTATGTATACAATTTTTACGCAAGTATAATAATTATTTAGTTATAAGTATTTATTATTCATACCGATGTCAAATAGTTAAAACTAAATAATTAACTTATTGTCTGATAAAAGGAGAATAAGAAAAAACAGGGATATTTTGTACTATTTACAAAAGACATTTTTTTTATTTTTCTCAGCAAGCATTACACAAACGGGTATAGTTATATATTTAATAAAGACCTCTTTTTAACTCATTTAATTTCATTCCTCGTCCCTTACCTTAATAGCCTTTATCGAAGCGAGCTAATACACAAACCATTGCTTATCAGTATGTTTTTCAAAATAGAACTTAAGTGAAAATAGGGAAACCTTAGGGGGAGAGGACTGCTGAAGCCCCTTGTATATTTGTTTTAACTTGGATAATACTTTTTTAAAATTATTGCGTTTAACTTACTGAAAAAATTAAGTGACAATAAGAAACAAAAGTTTGTTACGCGACAAGGACTATTTTGTTTAAAGTTAAAAAAACAATTTTTTTAAAAACATTTTAAATTTCAAAATTAAAATAGTTTTCTATACAATGAATTTAATAATAATTGACTTAGTTCAATATGTTTGTCTAGTGACCATATGGAGTTATGACGTTGTTTAGGACTGGTTCGATTGTGGACTAACAATTGTATACATTTTTTTTCTTATAAAACAGTTGTCACTTTCTTGAAATAATGTTTATTATTTTTTACATTAATTATATCATTTTAATGTTTTTTAAGAAACAAAAATCACATTAACTGAAAGTGATGAAAAACATATTTTACTCGATAACATTGAGGGGAGGTATGCCTAAATTTTGATTTCTTATCATTCTTATGGACCAACTGTAATTTAAGACCCTAGTTCCTCTTCCAAAATCACATATTATATATGCATTGATTTTAAAATATATATATTTTATACTTAAAAAAATATAATATTTACAAAATGTTCAATATACCTCAATGTAATTATTCAGCTTTTCTTTCCTCAGCATAAACCGTCCATATTGAAATGGATTTTGCACTCTTTTAATTTTTTTAATCGGTAAACTGAAAAAAGCGCTTATATTTCTATGTTCACTAGTGTACTCTTTGACTTCTATTAGTACATAGCTCGTATCGTAACACGGTGGATTTTCCCATGTATCCGGTGTGTAGTTTAAAACAAATTTAATTAAACTCATCTGAAAATAAAAATAAAAAACATGCCAGTTAATTCATAGTAATATTTGAAAAAAAATACTCCATTGTAAAATCAATACCTTTTCAGCTTCACGTTGAAACTAAAATTCACACTGGATGGCTTAGCAGGTCTTAGAATATATTCTTGAAAGTAATAAGTATTTGTTTCTCTATTTGCTCTGAAACTTATAGTTACAGAACTAATTTTATATGTAAATACAAATGAGGATAATGAGAAAATATACATTTGACTAATGGAAAAAATTTAAAAAAAAAGAGACTGAAGACTGGATTTGAAATGTCACATTACCTTTATGATAGATCATTAAATTGTCTACAACCAATGATTTTACACTTTATTTTCCAAAAATGCATTATTATCAGAGAAAAAATTATTTGTCAATAGGTTTGATGACCATTTTGATATTGATCACTCAGATGAATTAGATATGATAAAAATAGATTTTTACAAGCAGCTTTTAATATTAATCAAAGACAAAAAGGTCGACCAGGATCTTTTTTTCGGTAATTACATTTTTTATATGAAAGAAGATGATATTTTATTTTATACTGTTTCAGAAACGATTTCTATATTTTTTTTCTAATAATAAGTTTCGTTTTTCATAATATATTTTTTTTAGCGATCTCTGAGTAAAAAATGGATGCTCGCATGAAATGTTTTCTCAGAAACTTTTCTGTAGACAATTTTATGATCTATCATAAAGGTAATGTGGCATTTTACGGTGAACGCAATAGTTTTTTACTTAAACTCGAAAAACCATAAAGCTACCCTCTTTAGCCATTTTCAGCCCCCTTGTGGCACGTGAAGAGGTTATGAGTTATCAGAACCAAATTCTACATAAATAATTTTTTCATAGTAATAAACAAAATGGTAGCCCATTGAAAACCTTTAGAAAAAAATGTTCAAATATGACTAAGGACCTCCCTAAATTGTTTATCTGTGATTGTGCGTTATCAACTTAGCTTATAATTTTTATAAACAGTGATAACAGTTATAAACATGTGATAAGGTAATATGTAATTCTCAGAATTATGGTGGAAAATGGGAACTTCAATTGTCCCTATTGGCGGCATGTACACTAAACTTAGCAATCTAGTTTATTATAATATAAATCTGTGCAAGTGACAAAGAAACCGTTATTGTACTATTGACAAGCCGGACTTTATGTAAGTTTCCGTTTCATATATTTTATTATTGAACAGTTTGTAACACTATAAAAAAAAGAATACTTAAATATAGATTTATACCGAAAATCCATAATAAATAATAATAATATGTCAAAACCATAGCAGTTAAGATTAAATTTAAAGCGCCAGTCTTATCTGTGCCAATAAAATAATAATATTGAACTGTGAACAGTTTTTTTTTTTGCTGTTTTTAGTCGGTTATAAGCAAATAATTTTCGGTGGGTTTACATACAATACCGGACAGCCAACAATAAGATATCACAACATAGCCCAACCATATAAAGACCTACAAATAATTCTAAATAGATTCTTTATAGGTCTATGGTTTCAATTGAAATAAACGTGACATAAAAAGTATAACGATAAAATTAGTTAATCGTTGTATACTAATTAATCCTGATATTTGTATAAATTGTAAATTCTTATTTATAGATACTAGGTATTAAATGTAACTATAAATTCTTTTATAAAAAAAATATATATAGTAATCAGCTACATTTTAAGATAGCAAAAATCAAAAAGTTATCTGTGATATGCTCTTTGTTGCAATTTCTCATCATTGACTGTACCGTATTGTAATGTTTAGTATTAAGCAGGTCATGTATCTATTTTACCGATAATTTTAATTATATATTTTTTACTATTTTTCTAATAAATCTAACTAATTTTCAAATAGCTAAATCAAAAATCCGCCATTTTGTCCCCAAAGAAAAAATAGTAAACTTCACACACACACACAAAAAAAAATATATATTAATATCCGTCTAATAGATAAGCCAGAAAATTACATCTAAGAAAATCTTGTTTTATCAAACTTTCGCCGTAACTCAGAGAAAAATAACTTTAAAAGTTTTAAAACTAGAAAAACTCACGTGTTGTTGTTTCACCTTAAAATAATTCAGCATATTTAAAATGGCTGCTAGGTCGATTTTTGCGTTTTTAGAGGTAATTTTAAGAAAACTACTGATAAAAAAAGAGCAGAAAAGTCTTAACGCCTATTCAAAATTAACGACAAGTTTTGCTTAATATACTAAATTAAATATTACATAAAATACGAATTATAGTTACAATTTCAATGCACTACTTACGCGGGTTTATTAAATGTTTTAACATCAATTATCTTGGCTTTATTGAGACAATATAAATTTTAAAAAAAAACTTGTAATATTCTTCACGGTAAAACACAAGTAACCTATCAAAGCCAAACACCGGATCACGACTGAATCATAGACAAGTATACTGAATAACAGATAACCGACAATCTGTTATCAGACTGTGGACAATAAAATCAAACAGGGACTAGGGTGGGACATTGGAAAATATTGAAGCACACACGGGTTTCTAAAATAGTACAAGTCAAATAGTAAACAAACATTTAAAATATTATGATTTTTATGAGATGATAATAATAATTGTCATTACCGGTCAATAATAAAAATAAACACAATTCATATTGTGCGGTTCAAATAAAATCACTTTCCAATAAACACCAAGATATATTGGTATAAATACATGACTATTGTAAAAGCATTGTACCTAATGACAATAATGCATTTGAATTGTATGTATTTTAAGACGTCTAATACGATTAGGGTTGATACATACACGGTAATTAACAATATAATAATCAAAATATTTCCAATTACCTATTGACTCACATATAGCAACCAAGAAATTAGCATATTGCACTGTAACTAATCTATATACATATGTACAAGTGTGAGATTAGATTGTTTTCAAATTGGAAAGCGGAAAAAATTTCATTTTTTCGCTCTTTTAGACAAAGTTTTAGGTTTTAAGGTCTGAATATTAGACAAATAGTAGATCTAAAAAAAGTCTACACTAAAATTTTCTCAAAACTCTGTAGTAAGTCTTTATTTTTTTTTTAAAAAAAAAGGAAAAGATTACACTTTGACCGTAGTCAGTATCTAGTTAGCTATGTGTGAGTGAATCAACAGTCAACAGGTATTTGAATAAGTTTTAATTGTATTGTTAATTACAATATATATGTATAGGTATATAATTATTGTTGCTAATAGCAACAGAATCGTAAAGTAAGATATTCAATTGTTTTATTTTTTTTTTACGATACATAGGCCATAGTTGTTAAAAATATTGTTTAAAATTTCCAAAGAACTTATTGTAATAGGATCTCAGCAGCTGTTCTGCCCTGTATTACACATACAAAAGCTATAATAAATACTAGTGTATAATAATTAACAACATACATTTATACATAAATATGTTTACATTAGGAAAACTAAATTAAGTAATATTTAGTATTGTAAACCAGTCTTGGTCGACAATCGCTTATTTTTGTATTTATATTCAAGATAGCCATTTTATTCGGAATAATTTGCTAAAAACTGCAATGCACGCAGATAAATTTTAACTTTTAATAGCTTATCCATAACTGGTTTTCGACCAGTCGAAATTTTCAGCAAATTGTTCTGAATAAAATGGCTATCTTGGATTAAAAAAATAAAAATAGTTAATTTTAGCACATTTTTGTGATGTTTAAAGGCTTGAGTATAGATTTTTGTTGTATTTTTTGTTATTCAAATAAAACGTTCAATTTTACAACTATGTACTTTATTTTATTTATTTGTTTTGTATCTGTACCAACGATAACTACCAGTATGGAATTTCGGAGCAACATTTTATACCAATGTTAAATAAAATAAATATGAAAAGGAATTACACGACCAAATTCCACAAGTTATGGTATTTTTTTTTTTTTTAATAAATTCAACTGTAATGTACATTTTTAAATATATTTTTTCTTGTAGCTAGCAAGCATAGCTTTTGTAGGTAGTACATGCGTTTTACCGTGTTTTCTTATTTTGTTATTTGTTCTTAACAACTGCGATTAGGTGTGTTATACACTAACAAAACATACATAGGTACCAAAAAACAACTTAAATGCTATTGTAAATATTGTGAACTTTTATAATACAATATAAACCACAATGCCGTTACAAGAAAAACATGATTAAACTTTTTGTATATAATATCTATATTATAAGAACATAGTCTAAACTCTGCGTCGAAGTAATGTATATGTACACGAACCAGCCGTGTAAATAAATGAACATGTTACACTGCAAACAACTGTTTAGGTTGTTCTGATTTTTTTGGTACCAAGTAGAACATTTAATTCCAAAAGCTGATCTAATCGATTATTGTCCAAGAAATTCTAGCAGCTCAACAATTCAAGTAAGTATTTCTGTGAGACTTTAAAAATTGTAAGTATCACTATTTACTCTAAACCTACATAACCATGAGCTTAGTGAGCCAAAAGTTTTGGTCTTAACCAGCGGGTCCATTAACAACGTTTTTGAGCGGTTTTTTAATTATTTTTTTTTTACCAAAACAAAGATACGAATAATGCGTTTTACACAGTCTACATTTCGGAGAGAATTCTATGATAGGTTATCATTTTTTTTTTATTATTTCTCTTGATGTATACTATTAAGTGTAGTGAAAAAATGCAATACGTCACAAAATTGGCGTACATTTGTGTGTAAAAAACTTACAAGTAAAAAAATTAATATATTTTGGCATAAAAGTCATAGACAGCAAAATGATTTAGGTTTACCATCATAACTAAAAAAAAAAAAAAATTGTAATAACTACAAAAATAAAAATTAATTAATTTCGCGGGGTACTAAATTCAACATAAGAAACGTGTACAACTTTATGATTTTAACTTTGTCTTAATGTTTATAGTAATTAAAAAGAGTTTTTTTTTTTGAAAAATTTCTTTTTATACAGTGTAGACAAGTTTACTTTGGGTGTTTTTCTCCCATTTTAAAGGGGAAGGAATGATTTTTTTAAAAACGTTTTGGCCCATTAAAGTATCTTTCGGGTAAGATTTCTGAGCTATAGAGTTGCTACACACAGAAATCAACCAATTTGTATTATTGTCCATTTTCATTGGGGTGAACTAACTACAATTTTCGCCAAATAAAGTAAATTTTAAGTTCAATTTCTAAATAAAAAAAATCAGTTTGGTGGTCTAGGAAATATTGTAGGCCTAGTAAAAAAATGTATGTTATAATATATCGTATAAAAGACACTCTCGCAAAACCATAACCTTCTCATCTCTGTACCGGAGGCAATTGTGAATAAAATATAAATAGTTTTTTATTTATTATTATTTGCAGATAAAAAATGAAACAATTCGGTTTTTTTATATTTTTTTTGTTCGTCAACATTTCGGCAGACAAAAAAGGTAATTATTTTATTTTCACATTTACAAACTTGAGGTGGTTGAAAATTTGTTTTTAAAATTGACCGCTTTTGTACATATTTTTGAATATGAAACTTTACTGTTTTTAATAACGTTTGTCTGTATAAATGACATCAATTATATAATGTTTACATTTCACAATAACTATTACAAACTTGAGGTAGTTGAAAATTTGAAAAAAAATCCAATATTTCCCACTTTTTTTACAGAGATTTATTTAAGGCCGGTTTACCTTACAAGTCAGTAACGTTTGTGTTTTATAAAAAAATAGTTTTTAAAGTTTTTTTAAAATTCATAGTTATTGTACATATTTTGTAATACAGATGCAGCCATTAAGTGTGCTTATAATATTAATGATGTAACCGTGGGAGATAATTCTAAAGCAAGTAAGATATATTTCAAATTGTTATAGTAATATATTACAAATGTTTTGTTTTATGTACCTAATTGACAAGTTACTTGTAAATTGAATACCTACTATAGTTTTTAGCAATAGTTAAGAAAAATCCACCAGGTATGTAGAACAGTGTACAGAGCATATTAATTAAAGTAACGATTTCCAATAATATAATCGACGAAGTAGCGTTAAGTTAAATGACTAACGTTTAAAGAATGGTTTAATATTATTCTAAAAATTTGTGTGGCGCCTAATTTTTATTTTATTTCAATTTTTTAATATAGCCCAAATCTTTTTTTGTTTATTCTAGATGGATTGGAGCATGTAATTGAAACAATGGTTGATGATAAGAGATATGTCAATCAATTCGGTAGTCATAATTATAATAATAATAATAAAAATGGGGCATGGTTTGGCGTCTGAAGTTAAGCTGTGGATTTTTACCCATGCCATGTCACTTTTACACGTGTTCCTCATACACAAATCCAACCCAACCCAAAAACCACCAACACAAATCAGTTGACAGCTAATGTCCTAAACAGAAGAAGCTTAAATATAATTAAAAAAAAAATAATAATAATAATTAAGGTAAAGGTAGAAAAAAATTTGAAAATTATATAAAAATTCCAATTAAAATTTATCTTTATGCAATATTGATAAGTGACATAAATATTAAAATGTTCTCAGAAACTCTAAATGGAATCTTCATAAAAAAAATTATGAAATTAGCTCGTCTTATATTATTTTCGTTGCCACAACTGTTTTCAATTCAGCCATTATATTTTTTTATAAAGATTCTCAAGTCTATTTGATATTGTTTTTTTTCTACTTTAACCTTCGTTTAATTTAAACCTTCCAGTTTATAATTATTTTAACGATTTATAATAGCAAATCGATTCAAATCGTTAATTTTTGTGATGTCAATTTCAGCAAAAATTAACTTTATGATCGCTTTACCGGGTAAGAGTTTTTGATAAATTTTAAGAAATTATTTCTATTATTTTATTCCTATTAAATTTTTCAAAGAGACCTTCACCGTATTGAATATACAGTAAAGCACGTTTCTTCAGAGTTACTAATGCACATGGTTTATCTACCTTGAAATTCGTCTTCCTGTTCATAATAGAATGGAAAATGAAATGCAATATCATTAATTTTCCTTCCTGTTGAATTTCCCCAAGAAATTGTCATCTAACTGAACATACAGTGGAGCACGTTTCTTCCTAGCTACCTTCGACTTCGTCTTGCAGTTTAAAAATTGAATAGAAAATTAAATGCATTACCATTCATTTATGTAATGTTCATTTCAGACCAAACGGAAATTGTCCTAAAAAAACCGGGTAATAATTTCTTTTGTACATTAAAGGAAATTTTTCCACGCAATTGTTTGATATTCACAATGCACATAAGAGTTTTGTTTTAATTTCAGATTGGAAAGGCAAAGTGGAGGTATTGGAAAGTAATCACATTTTTATATTTTATATTTCAATCATAAAAATTATTTAGGTACATTAAATTATGTTTTATTTCAAAATTAAGAGTAAGGCATTACCAAGTATAATATAACTTTAGCATTAATAGTAGATAGATTGTACATGCGTCTTTTACCTTGAGCTACCTTCCATTTTATAATACCTACTATAGAAAATAAAATGCAATGACTTTTAATTTATGTAATGTTCATTTCAGACAAAACGGATGTTGTACTAGGGATACCAGGTAATAATTATTTGCATTGCACATTATGGAAGTTTTTCCATACAATTGTTTAATATTCATTATGCACATAAGAGTTTTGTTATAGTTTCAGATTTTAACCACACAAAGGAATTCGAAAGTAATCTCATTTTTATTATTTATATATTTAATGCACATTTATTATTAATAAATACTTCAAGAAGAATCATATGTGCCTATTGACAAATGCCAGTACGACATATCGGTTTCAATCATAAAAATTATTTAGGTACATTAAAATATATTTTGTTTTAAAATTGAGTGTAAGGCATTACAAAGTATAATATAATTCTAGCAGAAATAGTTGATAGATTGCACATGTGTCTTTTACCTTAAGCTACCTTCACTTTATAATAGAATAGAAAATTAAATGCAATATCATTAATTTATGTATTGTTTATTTCAGACAAAGCGGATATTGTCCTCGGAAGACCGGGTAATAATTGTCATTTCGCATTTTAGAAGGTATTCCACACAATTGTTTGTTATTCTTCATGCACATAATAGTATTGCTATAGTTTCAGATTTTAGACATACAGAGGAATTCGAAAGTAATCTCATTTATATATTTTATATACTTAATGCACATTTATTATTTATAAATACTTTGCCTATTGACAAATGCCAGTATGACATATCGGTTTCAATTATAAAAAATATTTAGGTACATTAAAATATATTTTGTTCTAAAATTAAGGGTAAGGCATTACCAAGTATAATATTATAACGCTAGCAATAATAGTAGATAAATTGTACATGTTTTTTTTACCTTGCTTGAGCTACCTTCCAGTTTATAATAGAATAGAAAATTAAATGCAATATCATTCATTTATATATTGTTCATTTCAGACAAAACGGATGTTGTCCTAGGGATACCGGGTAATAATTATTTGCATTGCACATTATGGAAGTTTTTCCACACAATTGTTTGTTATTTTCCATACACATAAGAGTTTTGTTACAGTTTCAGATTTTAACCACACAAAGGAATTCGAAAGTAATCTCATTTTTATTATTCATTTTTAATATACTTAATGTACATTTATTATTTATAAATACTTCGAGATGAATCATAATATGTACCTATTGAAAAATGCCAGTATGACATATCGATTTCAATCATAAAAATTATTTAGGTACATTAAAATATATTTTGTTATAAAATTAAGGGTAATGCATTACCAAGTATAATATTATAACGCTAGCATTAATAGTAGATATATTGTACATGTGTCTTTTACCTTGAGCTACCTTTCAGTTTATAATGCAATAGAAAATTAAATGCAATATCATTAATTTATGCATTGTTTGTTTCAGACCTAGTGGAAAATGGCAAAGAATTACCGAGTAATAATTTTCATTGTACATTATGGGAGCGTTTCCACATGGTTGTTTAATATTCTTCATGCACACACGGTTTTAATTTAAATTTCAGGACATATATTATACAAAAGGGAATTGAAAAGTAAACACATTTTTTTATTTCATATTTAATATACTTAACGCATATTATATTTAAAATTACTTTGAGAATAATCGTATGTACTTAGGTTTCATAAAAAATATGTAGCTACAATAAAATACAATATATTTGTTTTGAAATTTAGGTGCTGGCAATCACCAATATATAATGCATGAAGAAATGGTAGCTATATTAGGACAAAGAATACGCGATGCAATAAGTAAATATTATGTTTAAAAAAATGATAATTCCTAGTGGCATATTTATGGGGGGAGGGAATGATCCCCTTGGTAGTTTAGTTTTTCATATTTCCTTGTATTACATTACTTTCAAGTATATGTGTTTTCTAACTATTCTGAAAATAATAAGGGGAGGGCGTTATCCCTCATATCCCTCTAAAAATGCGCCTTTGGTAATTCTAAAGATTGTGGGTTTTAAGAAAAACTCTAAAAAATCAAATTAAAGCTTAGTCATGAGCTGTATATATTTTATGCTTAAACTTTTAACTATTATTAGGAATATAATCTGAACAGTTTGTTCAAACGTCGCTATTAGAAATAAATTAACGTTTATACATAATGATTTTATGTTAAATATATTTGTTACAGATATTGAAGTGTCTGAATATTATAAACACAAAAGTAATTACGACTTTTTTGATAGTACTAAATAGCCATTAAACTTTGTATTGGGGTTGAAGAAGGAGAGAGATAAGTAGAGATAGTAGGAGAGAGTGAGGCTTAGTAAAAATTCACGGTGATATTTTGAACGTTACGATTGTAAATTAAATAGAAAAACTAATATTTTTCGCTCTTCATCAAAGTTGACTATAACGTTAATGTGTAATCAATTCTTTGGGATTTCAAGTATGGAAACAGCACATTCGTTGAGTTTCCACACTAATCACTGTTTGTACAAAAAACTAGTTGTATCACAATTATTGGTATTGTCATGTATCTCGAGCAACTAAAATATTTATTTTTTATTGTTAACATTTATTCTCAACTCGGTCGTTTAATGATTTTCGCAGATTCCGAAAAATTAGATTTGTCAACTCTCGCAAACGAGAGAAGGGAATTTTATGTTGCTCCAGCATTAAAACATATACTCACACGTGAATTGGGTAAATATTAATATGAAGTTGTATAGTTGTATATATATATATTTACAGGGTGTCACGGAAAGTTCTACCGAGCTTCAAATGAGACATTTAGGATGTTCTATGGGTACAATAAATGGTATTCATTTTTTTTTAATTTTAAAATTATTTAAAATAAAACTCGTATCTCATTAAAAAATGGTCTTATAAAAAAAATAATTTCAGATTTAAAATTGGAAGAAAAAATCTTGTTTAATTGATATGTAACATGAGTTTTTGGTATCTGGCCACACATACGTCCACATGGTGGCCACCGAGTGGCCACTGAGTGGCCGGCATGTGACTAAAACCAATATATGGCATGCGACACATAATTTAGTATAAAATCATACTAAGAACTCCACTGAATTAAGAATAAAATTCTTACCCAAAATGATGTGTCACATTTCATAAGTTGGTTTTGGTCATATGCCGGCCACTTAGTGGCCACTCGGTGGACGCATGTGTGGCCAGATACCAAAAAATCATGTTACATATCAATTCAACAAGATTTTTTCTCCCGATTTCAAATCTGAAATCTTTTTTTCGTAAGACCATTTTTTAATGAGGTACGAGTTCTATTTTAAATAATTTTAAAATTAAAAAAAAATGAATACCATTTATTGTACCTATAGAGTATCCTAAATGTCTCATTTTAAGCTCTGTAGAACTTTCCGTGACACCCTGTATATATGTATTTTTTAATGTATTTAATAGGACCGCATATAACTCTATTATTTTTGTATGTCTTTATTTAAAAAAAATAAAATAGTTGTGTCCTGCTACGTAAAGAAAAGTAGTAACTATTAAGCAATTTTTATAGCTAATCAAAACAAATGTTTTTATATTTTTTAGAGGCATCTGTGCAGCGTGTAGATGATGATGTATCTTTATTGCGGGTGTGTCGTTTTATAGGAATATACATAAGTACACAATTACCAGATTTATACATAACAGATCTCCAGATTGACTCGACTGATGGTACTTGTACCCTATGGGATAAATGTAATACACCAAAAAGATACAGAAAAATTAATGGCTCGTGGTCGCAAATAAGTTTAGATGACTTAAACGATGCAGTTGCACCACTTGAGCAACAGTTACGACTTGGATTTCTGTAAGATGTACTCTTATCAGACGAGAGCAGATACTTGTCAAAAAGAAGACGAATAACAGATAATAATTTAAATTAAAAAAATAAAACCCCGGAATCTATTCATTACATATTATATTATCATTTATCTTACTCTACATCATTGTACAAATTATTTCAACTACTATTATTAGTATATTAAAGACATTTCACCGCAATGTATACCCGTATGTTTTTTTTTTTTGTAGAAAAATCATTTGGTCGACGGTAAAGTGTAAAAATAATCCCAAAAGAGGAGGATTTTGGAAATTAATCAATAGAGATAGTGGATTAGAGATATAAGATATTAGAGATATTAGATTGTAGAAAATATCCATGTATTGATGTATCTACATGAAGTGTGGATACGCTCTTAACTTTTTTCTAATACTTGTACTGTAATGTGCCATTCTTTTTGGTTTTTGTACACAAATGATGAACGAAGTCGAATGGTTGAAGATTTAAAAAATAAGCAAGAATAGACTCTAAAACAGTTTTCAAAAGTAAGTTTAATTTTACAACAAAGTAAGCAATTAGATACACGAGTGATGTAAGATGGTTGTTACAGGTAGTGTGTACAACATCTCCCCGCCAAAAACAAATCTAATAGAAATAAAAATAGTAAAATGTTAAAAAAAAGTGTATGAACTTTATATGTCAATACTAGCTTACGCAAGATCGAACGACCAGAGGTTTAGATAAATTTAATTTACAAACGTTTTATTCAAAAAGAAAATATATATAGTTTTATTTAGCTGTATCACAGTATTATACAATTTTTTCCTAGTATTATTCGGCTGTTCTTGCCTGGAGTTGATTTTGCTGTATCTAAAAAAAAAAAAAATATACATATAAATTATGAAATACTTTAACCAGATCGATTGACCTGATGCATAACTATTTATATTTTAACTTAATGATTATGATTGTCAATTAATACTTAAATAATTAAGTCAGTTGGTTTTAATAACAAATGAATACATTTTAAAAGAAAGAAAGATTATATATATATATATATAATATAACAAATTAAATGGCAGTAGCGGTCAATCTTTTAGGAGTAAAATCTTAGTTATGTACAAAAAAATATATGTAGTAAAAAAGTATTAATAAGTGTAAAAAAGTATTAAGTAAGTATGCATAGAAAAGATATGGAATAAATATGTGAATAATTAAGAAAAACGTTAAAATGATTAAATTATTAAGAAAAGAAAAAGGTATTAAAATAAATAAAAATGTGAAGAATTATATTAGTTAGAGCTCAAATTGAATGCACAGGATTTTTTCCAAACGAGAAACTGATCACTTGTCGTTTTTAATTAATCTATATAATTTTTGAGTAATCTTATGAGTACTCTGTTAGGCTTATGAAAAGAAAAAGATGTGTGTTGTGGTTGTATGGTTTAAATTGTGTTTTGATTTTGTGTTTTGTGTTTAAAAGTGTTTTGTTGATTAATGATAAAAATATAATTAATATAGATAATTTGAGTAAGGACATTGTTGAAAAAAAAATAGTGTAAAGAATAATTATAAAGAAAATAATGTGAATTTTAAGTATGATGGTTTTGAAATGTGTAACATTTGAGTTCAACGGTATAACGAATGTTATACCTTAGGTTTTGTTTTCTTAACAGGTTGTAGTTGAACATGCACTGTCCCTGGTGTATTCCTAGTTATTCGTTTGTCTGAGTCTTTTCTAAACGTTTTGTTTAAAAGGTCTTCCTGGCCGGGTAAAGATTCCTGATTAATAATAATGGTACTGTCGTCTAAGTTAATTACATTTATCCCACTTGATTCTAATGTAACTTCAGATAAATCGAATTCTACCTTAATTTGAGAAGTGTCAACCTGCTTATTACCCATACAATTAACTTAATAAAAACTTATCTTATATTCTTATATATTACAGATTACCTCACAATAATGCGTTCATGGTGAGATGTTGTCCGTCAAAAAGGCGTCGAAGAACAATAAGTGCTTGAAATCTCTTCGATTGCCCCTCGGTGTGATGTTGGATGGATCAGTTTTATATAATTTTTAGAAATCAATTCAGGTTTCACATATAGTTATGGTATTGCGTATTGTATTATTAGGATTCAGGGTTTTACACGTGTAGACAATTTTCCGTTATAATGCTAGCATACAACATTTCATCCCTCAGAAAAAGGTATTTTGCGCATAAAATAAGCGAAATATCTTTAACAATATTGATTACATATCTGTGTATCGTTAAAATTTTACAATAGGCACTTAAAATTATAAACATGAATAGAATATTAGTTATACCTTTTTTTTTTTGAATACATAAAAATATTTGTATATAATTAGGTTAGTATTTAGTAATGATAACATTTTTTTTTTCAACAATTTTCTTTTACATTTATTTGAATATTTCTTATACCTAAATCAATACAATTACAATTTACATTTTTTTTGTGTTAGTTTATTAATAAATAATGTTTATAGATAATATCTTTAGTTGCTTTTAGAATCTATAAATGAAAGGAACGTTAAATTTATATCTTTGGTCCCAGGTAGAAGAAAGAACTTAAGTCAATTTTTCATAAAAATTTTTTTTTCCGTAGATTTAAAGCTTGATTTTTGCTGATTTTTTTGGTTCAACTGACAAAATAATTAGTAAAATTGACATAAGCCCTTTCTACCCGGGACCAAAGATATAATAACCGTGATATTATTATTAATCATAATCTACCTGACTCTGGGTGTTTTTCCTTTCAGCTCGGAGTGAGGAAAGACAAATTCTGTCTCTCCTTGAACTTTTTGTGGAACATACACCTTTCGTCTTCTGTGATGAGATGCGAACAATCCGGGTAGCAATAAAAAGGGTAGACTTGATCTGAGGCCAGAACAATACTAGTTCAGTGTGAAGGGAAACGAGTCCTGTCTCCCTTTGAACTTTTTAGGCATAGTCTAGCCTACAGTATCTCGTCGGTTGTATTAGCCTCTACTAGTATATCCCAAAGTGATCGTCTAATTTTATGGATAGTGCAAAAAGATTACACGGGGATTGCTCGTACTCATTGTTATGTCTAATGTATTAATTCTAATGTAGGTAGGAAAGTTTTCCATTCACCTAGAACATTAAAACATATATTTTTTTTAGAATTTAAATGTTAGTGTCACTTATGCTCACTTATTTCGTAATGTTAGTTCATATACTATAGGTTATGTTTTTTTTTTGTTTTTTTTTTTTTGTTTTTCTTTTTCCTTAACTTAGGCATATCCTTAATTAATCTATAAAATTTAATTGGCCTTAATTTACTAATAATATAATTCAAGACACAGCGGCTAGCAATCGTATCAAAAACCGGGTCATGAAAAGTCATATGGGGGGAGTGTGTTTCTATACACGTAAAGTCATGAGCTTCCCGCAGGTTCAGCTCCCTACCCCCTTTTTTAACCTCCCCTAAAAACTCATCGTAATAAATCTTCCCGGTCACCATGTTTATAAGCTTCAAATTGAACCGCCCGTCATTGTTATTATCCCAGGCGGTCATATTCAAATATTTATAAACGTTTTTTACTCCAAATTGTTGCAATATTTTGTAATCATGGTTACCGTTCCAAAACACTACGATGGGTTTTCTTGAACCTTTGTGAATATATTTTGAAATGGAGGATAAATTCATCGTCGAGGGCCCCTTTTGATACAATCCCTTGTTCAACTCGTTTAATAACGAGCCGAACGCTGGTTTTGTTTCCTTAAACCTAATACATTGGCGGGTGAGTGATTTCAGTTCCTGGGGCGTGGCCTGCCGGGGCCAATGAGTGGTTACTACCATCGGGAACCCCGATAGTTTCACTGGGTTGTTGTTCTTGTGCGTCGACAGCAGGCACCCTGACACAGCGATATACTCACTGTGTGTCTTTGGCAGAAACTCGAAATCAGCCACTATGATTTTTATGTTTGCACTAAAACAGGTTTTATTACATTATTACAGATATAACATTATACGTATATTAATCGTCCTTCACCGTGATTATTTTAATATTTAAATTACTATACTAAAATTTATATAAACTACTTTCTATTTGTTACTTTTATTACTAATATTTTACATAGGTATTTCCTCTCCTGCGTGCACGGCTTGCCCAATCCTATTGGCTCGTGCTCGCCTCAAGCGATTATATTGCAATATATCATTTAGATATAGTACAACCAGAATAATCATTAGGTTAGCTACACTGAGACCTAACAAAACGTATTCATAAATGCTTTGTATAAATGGTACATGAAAAATGTTGGCTTCTGCTTCGAGTTGCCTTGTGGACTTCCCGTTAGTTAAAAGATCACTAATTGAACGAACATTGTTTTTATGTTACTTTTTAAAATATTTAAATAAATTGGATTTGTTTTTTAATGCGAAAATCAAAAATAGTTTTTAGTTTTTACGTAGTCTCTATCGCCAGTACAATAGACAAGTATTTCGGACTTAGAAAAAAAATTATAAAAAATACTTAAGCTTAACTTAAGGCCCCAAATTTAGTCTTATTTGAAAGCTTAGAACATTTACTATACTATTATGTAGATTTGAAAAGTCGAAATTTACCGAAACCTTCTCGGCAGGGTACTTAAACCGAAAAAGTAAGTCAGTACAACAGATCACTATAGACCATATTAAAAAAAAAAATTTTTAATACTCAGACCTCATTCGTACACTCCATTTTGGCTTCATTCGAAAGCTAAGAACATGTGCTATAACAATATGTAGTTTTAAAAAGTTAAAATTTCCCGGAACCCCATCGGCGGGTTAGGTCTATAACAAATATATACATGTTATTATATAATAATACCGAGCTAAAAAGTACGTTCCACGGAGTCCAGAGGTACACTATAGTGTACCACCCAAAATTGTTCGATATTTTTCAAATGTGATTTTTTTCACTCGGGGGATTTTTTTACTGTATTTCTTAATATTTTCAATCGTTACTACACAATTAAAAATTATGTACAAATTACTAAGTAATTGCAGTACAAATTTTTACTAATTTGTAGTACCTATCATATTTGGACCAAAGATTTTTTTCAAAACGGACTTATTTAAATGTATTCATTATTTTATAAAAAAAAAAAAAGCTATTTTATTTTTAATAATTA